CCCCTCAGGCCCCTGGGGGCTTGGGACTAAAGCGGCCACCATTTTTGTTGACCTTTGTCCATGGAAGGTCCCTGCAAAATTTTATTGAAATTGGTTCAGGGGTTTTGGAGAAGAAGATTTTTGAAATTTTAGTCAATTTGACCCTTTTTGGCCCCGCCCCTGAGGCCCCTGGGGGCTTAGGACTAAACCGGCAATGTTTTTGTTGACCTTTGTCCATGGAAGGTCCCTGCAAAATTTCATTGAAATTGGTTCAGGGGTTTTGGAGAAGAAGTCAAAAATGTAAATTGTTTACGGACGCACGACGGACGACGAACGACGACGGACAAAAGGCGATTGCAATAGGTCACTTGAGACTTTGTCTCAGGTGACCTAAAAACTGAACCAGTTTCATTTTGACAGAAAGTTAGTTTGTAATTTGTAAGTGGCAGACAAGCAGTATCAGGGGTTACATTTTGGTGGCACATTTCAAGTGCGACACAGCTGGTTATACTCAATCAAATATACATTCAATAAATGCCACTCTGAGCTAATTTAAATGTATTTGGTTTCCAGATTTTGGTACTCTGACATTACCAGAGGGAAATCAAATCTGAAATCAAATATTTTCTTCTACAGTGTTGTAACCTGTTTATCTTAACCCAACTTATAGACAGATCCCTGTTGTTTTATATATACTGGAGATATTTCTTAGCGAGTCTAATCTTCTGTCACAAGGAAGTGGTTTCATTTCTCCTATCCTGATCAAAAATTACAGCCTATCATATAACTGATGATTTGGAACCAGGAAGCGAGGAGCTACTTTGCCATAGTCAGATAGATAGAAATGTTGAAATTGTAACTGACCTAAAGATACATGTATCTACATATGTATATAGACTGAGGCCCGGTGAAACTAACCTTTGTTTTCTACACTGTAAACTCACATGCTGTCACCATCGTTTTTTAAATTCATTTTATTTACCTCACATCTGACTTTTCACATAAAATTATCCCACAACAACAGAAAATCTTTTTGGACCTCTTTTTGCTTGTCTTTTTTCTGCTATCTGAACTGAAATGTATACAGAAAATGTTTTGCCACAGATGGACTTTTGCCTTTTACGTCCTCCATACTGATGACTGAGGGTGAATTGATACACAGCATACATGTACTCTACCATAATTGTCATTACATGTGCAGTAGAACCAGAACATGCGGAGGACATAATTTGAATGCTGGGCAAATAAAGATGTTACCAGTGACAAGCGAAAGTTTGACTTTCATACAGGGTATATTTCTTCTATCAATAAGTTATGACATCACAGGCTGCAGGATAAGCCATAGACTTAACTCAAACACCCCTACATATTTAAACTGGACTTGCCTAGTCTTTGATCTGGTTCAAATGTGACTTTAAGGGTGAATGATTTAAAGGATGCTATTATGTACATGTTTTCAAATCCTTAAAAAAAATCATAGGCATGTAACTAATGTCAACACATTTTCAGACTGACTACCCTGTTAGACTCACCACTGACTCTTGTGTAGTAACACTTACCACTGACTCTTGTGTAGTAACACTTTCCACTGACTCTTGTATAGTAACACTTACCTCTGACTCTTGTGTAGTAACACTTACCTCTGACTATTGTGTAGTAACACTTACCACGGACTCTTGTATACATGTAGTAACACTTACCACTGACTCTTGTATACATGTAGTAACACTTACCACTGACTATTGTGTAGTAACACTTACCACGGACTCTTGTGTACATGAATACGTAGTAACACTTACCACTGACTATTGTGTAGTAACACTTACCACTAACTCTTGTGTACATGTAGTAAAACTTACCTCTGACTCTTGTGTAGTAGCACTTACCACTGACTCTTGTGAACATGTAGTAACCCTTACCACTGACTCTTGGGTAGTAACACTTACCACTGACCCTTGTGAACATGTAGTAACACTTACCCCTGACTCTTGTGTAGTAACACTCACCACTGACTCTTGTGTAGTAGCACTTACCACTGACTCTTGTGAACATGTAGTAACCCTTACCACTGACTCTTGGGTAGTAACACTTACCTCTAACTCTTGTGTAGTAACACTTACTACTGACTCTTGTGTAGTAACACTTACCACTGACTCTTGTGTAGTAACACTTACCTCTAACTCTTGTGTAGTAACACTTACCACTGACTCTTGTATACATGTAGTAACACTTACCACTGACTCTTGTGTAGTAACACTTACCACCGACTCTTGTGAACATGTAGTACCACTTACCACTGACTATTGTGCAGTAACACTTACCTCTGCCTCTTGTGTAGTAATTATACTTACCACTGACTCTTGCGAACATGTAGTAACACTTATCACTGGCTCTTGTGTAGTAACACTTACCACTGACTCTTGTGAACATGTAGTAACACTTACCTCTGACTCTTGTATAGTTACACTTTACACTGACTCTTGTGTAGTAACACTTACCTCTGACTCTTGTGTAGTAATACTTACCACTGACTCTTGTGAACATGGAGTAACATTTACCACTGACTCTTGTGAAAATGTAGTAACACTTACCTCTGACTCTTGTGTAGTAACACTTACCACTGACTCTTGTGAACATGTAGTAACATTTACCACTGACTCTTGTGTAGTAACACTTACCTCTGACTCTTGTATAGTAACACTTACCTCTGACTCTTGTGTAGTAACACTTAATTACCTCTGACTCTTGTGTAGTAACAGTCAAAGTCGTTGTTATCCGCCTCCACCTGTAACAAAAATGTACAATAATTTCAATGTCAAACAAAGCAGATTGCATCAAATGCTTCAAGTGTTGAACCAAATACCCTTCAAAACCCTTGATAATGTTTACACTGTGCTGTTGAGTTGTGTTTCAAGTGTTTATTATGTCTCATTCTGTACATAATGCACAGGATTTAAAAGGGCAGGTGATATTTCAGACAATAGCAAAAAAAAACAGGTTACATGCATATATTCTTTTTGACTCAGCATGTAAATTGTATCAAGATCATAAAAGTTAAAAGGAACAATGGAGATAGCCCCACCACACAGTGTCTTATCTCCAACATAGTTCCAATGTTTTAATATTTTTTAATTCAGAGTTTGCTGTAGTTGTTTATATATATACAGTATCCCCCCTAAATTCATCCTCGTTATATCCAAGGGTTACGCTAATTTTCGCTCTCTAGTAAACATCCCTGGAATATGTCATAGCAAAAATGAAGGCACTGGCTAGCTATTTGATTGGTGTTAGGTTAAAAAACCTGACCAATCACTGGTCTGATACTTGTCCTTTGAAGATTACAAAGGAGCGACGCCCAACTTCAAAGCCCATAATTTTTACCGTTTTGCGACCACAAGATTCTTTTGGTGTACATCAAAGGACCAAATTAAAACTAGTCATTCTCATCTCATCCACAAGGTGTTTGTTGCACACTGAGCCTTCAATTTTGCTATGACGTATTCCAGGGGTGCAGGTAGAGAGTGAAAGTGACGGTAACCCCTGGATATCAAGGATGCCCTAATTTTGCTTGGATAAAACTTGTGTATACTGACTGGGCAAGTGTGCCACTGTTGGTTAGTGCACCAGTATAATAATTTGGGCCCAGAGTTCGAAACCTGGTCTGACCCCAATGTTAATCTTTCCAAAGCTTCCAAAGTACAGTTTTCTTCAAGTCAAAGATTTCTCAAAGCTATTACATCATCATGCAGGAAGAAGGTGTTCTAAATGTATATTTTGTAAATATGTATAGATGCACACATTCGTATGACAGAAAAGATATGCTTTATACCAATAACAATAACTTATAGGTCTTACATGTTACCCCCTTACTGCTTCTGTCTCCTTACAAGGTAAATTTCAAGTTACAGGTAGATCAGATAGAATTTGGCATAGAAACTAAAACATTCATATGTCATGAAATAAAGCAGGTTCTGCGGTAAAGAATAACATTTATTGAAGAATATTTATTAAGGAACTTATGCTCCAGACAAACTTTGGTACCGTCAAATAAACTAACAGCCATAACTCTGTAAAATTAGAGCCTAAGATCAGAATTCAATTATACATTTGGAAAACTGCACACACCATCCCAAGATAAACTGTAGACAAAGTTTGCTAAACATAGGTGAAACAGTAAGTAAGTTAGGCGCCGGACAAATTCTGGTAGCAACAATAAATTAAAGGCCATTACTCTGTATAATAGATAATGCGTCACAAGACCTAAGTTAAGTATGGAAAACTTCACCGTCCCAAGGTAAGAAGTAGACAAATTTGGTCAACATAGGTGAAACAGCAAGACAAGTTTATGCATCAAAAATGAAATAATGCCATAACTCTCACATACAGTTGATTCTCGAGACCTGAATCCAGTACTGATCATTTTATCAACAACCCCAGATAACTACATATAGTAGCTTGATAAACCAAGGTAATATACTATTAAAGGGCCATAACTATGTATAAGTGCATTAACACACAAAAACAGTCCTAATTTTAGTATGTGTATCTCTGCAAAAGATTCATAAATACAAATAAGAATAATGTGCAACATTTATAAAGCACTCTATCAAAATTAATGCCCTAAGTCGCTTTGCAGAACATGAATAATGATGTTTTGAATATCAATTATTTAAGATTGCTATCTATTTTTCGTTTTCGTTTTTGGCAATTTTTAGGACAACTGAAACCAACTTTGGAGGATCAGATATTGCTTCATTGTTAACACAATTAGGAAAACTACAAATGTACAGTCAAACTTTGATGCTTCTAAATTTGCGGGACAATCGGGGTAAATTGGAAACATTGGGACTTCGACTCACAAATATTGAACATCGAGAACATGTACATTTTGTACGTCAGACCAAATGCGATTCTTACGTGACGAGACACAAGCTAAGTAATTTAATTTTAAATACATGTATAAATATATATAAACATTTACGGAAATAAGAATAGCATGTTTATTAAGACACTGTAGTTTGCACTTTGATCCATCAAATTCAACATTTATTTTTTTGTCAATCAAATTTCCGAAGCCTGTAGTTTGTGTTGATGTGGTCCATCACCTGCACCATGATTTCCGTTGGCCGTTTGTTTTTGAGAAAAAATAATTATATAACAATATATTTTAGTAAAAAATCACACAAGTTAATTACATCATAAACTAATAATTATACATAAGAGTCATAAATACCATATATAGTTTTTTACATAGACCCATGCTTACAATTGAAAAGTACTTCAGTGAATGTTTGTTACGGAATGATCAAGGCTTATTGATTATCACGTTGCGATATACACACTTCACACTGCTGTATTTAAGAAAAAAAACAGTGAGTTAATCAGCGTCTGTTTATATCACAGTCCTGTAAATAATAAATACTGGGTTGGGTTAACATGGTCACCAGTAATTTCACAGGATACCGAAACATGTCTTTGAAGGTGTTAAAATGACCGCAGGACATTTCATTGTTCTCATACAGGTATTACAAAATTCTTGACTTGGATCTATAAGTTGTAATTTCAAATGTTTTTATAGAGAACGGGCCTGGCTTTTGCTTCAAAACAGCGAGACATTCGACTCGTAATAGTTCCGATACATGAATAGAATTAGTAGTGTAATATTTTATAGGGAAAAATCTGGACTTTGCCGGGCTTTTGCTTCAAAACAGCGAGACATTTGACTCGTAATACAAATGTAGTTCGATTCATGAATAGAATATTAGCAGTGTAATATTTTATAGGGGAAAATCTGGACTTTGTCGTACTTAAGTACGATAAATAGAGAAATTTGAATCTTTGAAGTTCGATTTTTGGAAGTTTGACTGTATCACCTGTAGCTGTTCAACCAAAATCTGTTTATGTAGAAGAACTGGACTGGGTCGATCGCCAGTGACCATGCTTCGGTAGCTCAATTGGTAAGGGCTTTTTGTCTAGAGTTTGGAAGTCCATATGGTATTAGGGGTTTTGTTAAGAGTTTGGAGATCCTGGGTTCGAATCCAGGTCTGGCAAAGTATTTGCCTTCTCCGGTTAAGTGTCCTTGTTTCAAGTACTGTGTACATTTTTGGCAGGTTGATACCCAAACTCGGGGGGCAAGTCTTAAATTTGGGAAAGGAGGGATAGATTTATCGGATTTCAGGAGTGAGTCGATTGCCAGCAGGGACAAGGTAGCTCAATTTTGGACAGTGCATCTGTCTTGAGTTCAGAGGTACAGGGTTGGAATCCGGGTCTTGCCATCAATTTTGTCTTAGCACAGAATTAGATTAGTTTAGTCCGTGGTCTTAGCTTATGATCCTGTTACATGTACATTTCTGACAATAGATAGAGCTATTTTCAATCATAGAGGTGAAATCGTAGGAAAGTTGAAGTTCAGGTGAAGTGCACCTAACCATAACATACAAAGGAACTCACAAAAGCATGACCAATATCTAAGAAAGTTGAGGGAATTAAAACCTATTATACTTACAAGGGTCATTTGGATATTAATTATAAATATGTCTGTACAACGTACGTTTTTGTACATGCTATCTGGAATTTTTGACTGGCTCCTAGGACACAATTTCAATCGATAGATAATAATAAGTCAAAATGTTAATGATGTTAGCATGTGTATCGGTTGCTCATACGATATAATATTATAAACATTTTTACTTATTTTATTTACCTATTGATCGAAACGACCTCCTGAGTGCATACTGGTCTAAATCTAAATACTTACATCTGAACACTTGTATCCAGGATAACATTCTCCGTTTTGTTCTGGCCGTGTACACACCTCACACGTGTTTTCGAACTTAACTGCTGTCGTTCGACACTTTGGGTTTTCCAAATGTTTCCCTGCTGTTACCTCCGGGGGATCCATGCACACTAAGCACGTGCATATCACTGCATACAACGTCAATTTTATCACCTCCATTATCAGTTCTCAGCATATCGATCAAACATCGGTTAATCCTCACATAACAGGGCATGTACAAGCATAAACCGTGGCTTATACGTAATATACCACCCTACTGTCAGAACAGTACGGTACACATGGTCAACTTTCACTTTGACAACTTAACGAACGCAGCTGGCCTGTATACTGGCTATTTATACAGAACTATATGCCTTTTAAATTAATTCTATTCTAAAGACTCATGTCATTTCTTTTTGTATCGACTGGTATCAGCTATCTCCAAAACCCGTGATTACAATGTTTCCTTGTACGTGCGTGCCTCCGCGAAAGAAATGCTTCCTCATAGCCATAGCGTCACAGGTAGCTATAGCCAACAACATAATCTATCTGGAGCACCGATAATACAATATTGCAAATTTTACTATACAAACGGAACGAACTTACTCACTGAAGTAATATTACGCGAATACAATGTAGTTGGCACCAATTGTGGAATGTTAATTATTTATAACTTATCTTACATATTATATCAATGCCTGAAAGGTTCTTTATAGTTATTTTACAATTGCAACTGTGATATAAAAGTAAAGTTTTAGGCCATGTTTAATATTTTTATTTTGGACATATTTTAATTTCGGTTGAAGTACTTTAATTTAATCAACAGGTAAACCATTTTTTTTTTTTAGATAACTTCGATTTCATTTTCCTCATTTTTTTTTTAATATTATATTTCCACTTTAACAATACTGCACGTGCAACGTTTTCACGGTCTTAGATTAATCCATGACACTTTGAAGGGTTTTTTTTCTGAACAAGACAGCGAAGAAATTATCATTCGGGTTTATTTTCTGTGACAGTTTTTATTCACATTTTAAGCAAATCACCATTTACAAAAAGCTCAGATATAGGAGTATGCATGCTGGTCTATCGGATAATGACAGTTATAAATACGTCTCTGATAAACTCCTACGTCCACTATAATAGGGGCGTGTCCAGGTGTGAGGGCCTAATGGGCGTACGCCCCCCCCCCCCCCCCCCCACCCCCCCTTTAAAAAAAAAACACTATCGTAATCTGCTAATATTGTATTGAATATGTCAGTTTATCATATTCAATAATTAAACACATACTCTTATTTCTTTTTATACTGATTCCCCCATCCGGACTATTGAAATGTTCAGTAACGCCTTACACCCTAGAATTTGGAATTTCTCGTTATTGGTCTACTGCTGTTAAGATCCATCCAATCATTTAAATATGCCATAGACAATTAATGGAGAGAATTCGGCATAAAAAATGTCAAACCCTGACACTTTAACTATAAAATATACATGCTCCAAGTCAGGAACCGTTACATTAGTGCATTTCACAATTATTTTATGTTTATTGGTCGCCTCGCTCCGCTCGGCGAAAGGTTTGATTCTACGCCCCCTTTTTCAAATATCCGAGAAACGCCCCTGCACTATAATATCCCATTAAATATTTTCTGTTTCATAAGGGGGATATCTTCTTTGTTTTTCAACATGGAGTACGTTCCAGATATAGAATCAGAAACTGACAGAAAAAAATACTTCTTTGGTAAATTTACTTTGGCTAGTCTGCATTCATCTGTCTGAAATACAGCATTCATCTGTCTGAAATACAGCATTCATCTGTCTGAAATACAGCATTCATCTGTCTCCGGTCACTGCTTTCGTAGTCGTGTTGGAGTTATCTCCCTGCTCTTGACATGTAACGGTACATTTTGCCCTTTTCCGTCGCATGCTCGAAACGATAGATGATGTATAAACGGAGACATACAAATGGGCATCGCAGTATTTAAACATTTAAGGGTACTAACAGATTGTTAGCCAAAATCTGGGATTACTCCACCAAACACTCCACATTGTACTGGTCGAGTTTTACAATGCCTTGGATTTTCAGGAAAAAATACAACTTCAGCTACCTGGGTAACGTTTTCATTTTTTTTACTCTACATGAACCAGGGACGTAACCAGGCGTACGCACGGACGCACGGGCTTCCACGTAATTTTTTCAAGTATACTTTTAACAAGGATCACATTGTAGAACTTTATGTGATAAACTTTAACAACTCATATAATCCTGGGCCCTCAGTGAATTCATTATCTCATTGATAATGTTTCTTTTATTGACTATTTAACGAAAATGTTCCTTGTTCATATGGAACTAATTATTACGCATTTGATAAAAAATACTAAAAGCCAAATATGAAAATGATAGGTATTTTATGTCTCAAACTACACCAGAATGGGTTCCAGATTCAAAAAAAATCTCGGGNCCCTCCCGAACCCACCCCCTACTCCGCGCTTCGCGCTTCGTATGCTTCCACATACTCATAGTCCTGGTTACGTCCCTGTGAATACATCTATATCCAGGAATTTTCACCGATCTAGGCTTTGTCATTGTCTGTCGAGTGGGAGCCAGGCAAAGGAAATTATTCATTCCGTATTTTAAAGGCCTCTGTCACTTAATTATTTAACCTTTCCCTGAAAACAAAAATGATAACTCTAATATTGCCAAATCAAAGAAATCATTGATTGCTGATTGTTTTGTAATTCATTGAAATGTATCACACATAGGTGCACTCAGTAACCTTTACTACTACGACATCACAATCAGATGACGACGTTACACTATAACGTGACAATTGAAATCCAATCTAACCGTTGTTTGACTGACAATTTAACAATCAGACACCACGTGTACCCCATGGACATATAATGATTTGTGCACAGGTTTCAGTAACTTTTTGCATGGTTCTTTAAGTTATAGGAATGTTTTTCGGCTGCTCTTTAGTTCGTGTGTACGTTATCTAGAAATCCATTTGTTATGATTTAGTGTTGCCTTTGGATTGTTTTTGTCGTCTGCTCAGCCTCGGTTCTGACCCGAAATCTAGTTAGAATGATTTTTATGACAAAATTGGAAGGAAATCCTTTATATATATATATTGTAAAAAGAATACATGGTTCGATGTACCTTAGTCCAGTTTTAGTGCAATAGTTATATGACTTGGTACAACAAAAATCACCGAGCACTTCCCTAAGGTGGTTATTCTATTGATTCCTATCGCTTGACGTGATTCAATACTATTTCATGTCCTTATTCGTGACTTATCCTCATCATCCTGCAATTAGTAAAGCACTTTAGTCATCATGTTTACAGACAAATTAAAAATTATAATAAATATCAGGAAGAAAACATTACTTTCCGTCTCCTTTCATATCTTACTTTCGGTTTCCTCTTTCCTTTATTTGTTCAGCCATATTTTCTCTCATCTTAGTTCCCTACCGTGACATATAGCTATTAAAATGCATACATTTTAGAAGCGCATGACAAAAAGCACTAACACACCCAATGTATCACACAGTCGATAATTGATATCAATTATAATAAATCCAATGGTTTACAAGCGTAAGGTACGACCTGCGATCAAGTAGGTGCGTGTTAACTACAGAAACGTCAACATTCAGAATACATTTAAGCCTTCAGAAATCTTTGTTCCATGGGGACGTTTACATACAGGTTTAACGGGGGAGATAAAAATATAACCCGATATACCGCCGTAAACACAGTTTTACTGTCTAAGGGAGATAACCCATTATAACATGTCTGAAGTTAAAGTTTATTTCCAATACAGGAGCTGATAGAGCTCCTCTACACCGGACTCAAAATGATGCAATTTCACAAATTAAATTTAAAGTTCATAGTTATTTACATTGGCCCCATTGTTATATTAAAGTTCTTTATTCTAACAAAGTTTATCTATTCTGTTCTGAAATGTGTTTGTGTTTGAAAGCGAATACAACGTCCTTCAGAAGGCCAAGTTATTCCAGGTTTCGACTACACGGAATATAAAATAGTTTTTCTCGGGGATGTTGTTGATTGACATGGGAATATCTGTTTTGATATTGCTCTCGCAAGTGCTATTTAGTTTGGTTGTATCACTCTATAGCACAAAGTCTGTCATAAATTTGTCATGAAAGTTTCCTGTATTGAACAAACATTTCACGATGTCACTCAACTATAGCTTCTAGTATATACTCACGGGTAGCTTTCGGCGACATCCTGGTTGCCTTCTTCAGCCCTTACTGAGATCAGTAGGGCTTCAGACTTATCTGGTGATTCAGTCATGTGACCCGGGGATTATCCTTAAGTCATGAATGTGACTCCAGTATGTTTCTTCATTTTCTGGATGTACACTCTCGAGTGTATCTACATATTTCAATTTGTACGGTGACCATACTGATCCCGTGTAGTCCATCTGTGTCCGTACAAGAAATTTGAAGAAGGAGTAGGAATGTTGCGTAGTCAAAAAATTAAAATTTTCTGTTTGGTTTTGATATTTCATTCTTTGATTCCTTGGATCGTCCAATACCCATATATTTACACTTCCCGGGAAGCACCTTAAGTAGCCACTTTGAGCTCCCCTTTCCCATTACCCACATACCCTTTTCCATAACTCCCAGATCCTTTTGTAGTGAGTCCTTGTCCTCGGGTTTAGATTATGTTGAAGACAAATCATTTACAAAATTGACAAATTAAAGGGGACCAAGTACTGATCTCCGTGGAACTCCAGAAGTAAGAGATTTGCAGTCCGAGTGTATATTGTTTACATCGACGCGTTGGGTTCGATTTGACAAAAACTAAGTAATCCATTTAACTACTTGACTTGAAATGTTGTTAGATTTATTCATTTATGACAATTTCGATGGGAAACAGTGGCAAACGCCTTCTCGTAATCCATGTATATACAATCTACAAAGCTTCTGTCTACTCGTCTAGGACTTCAACACGTTGTAGTGTCGTGGATCTTTCCGACAGGAATCCGTATTGTCTATCTGAAAAGTACTGATTTGCCTCACAACCTTTTGTTGATATGTTCCCGTACTATGGTTTCCATTGCTTAAAATATGACCGTGGTCAAGCTGACAGGCCTATAGTTAGTGGGCTCGTATTTGTCTCCTGTTTGTGTAGGGTCCAGCTATTTGCCTTTTCCCAATCGTCTGGTATTGACCATGATTCAAGGTTTTGATTAAAAATAACGCGAGTGGAGTAGCCATAGTTAAAGCAATATCCTTCAAAAATGCTGGATGAATGTTATCTAACCTGGCTGCTTTATCTAGTTTAACCTCCACAGAACGTTATCTAACCTGGCTGCTTTATCTCGTTTAACCTCCACAGAACGTTATCTAACCTGACTGCTTTATCTAGTTTAACCTCCACAGGACGTTATCTAACATGGCTGCTTTTTCTAGTTTAACCTCCACAGAACGTTATCTAACCTGGCTGCTTTATCTAATTTAACCTCTACAGAACGTTATCTAACCTGGCTGCTTTATCTAGTTTAACCTCCACTGAACGTTATCTAACCTGGCTGCTTTTTCTAGTTTAACCTCCACAGAACGTTATCTAACCTGGCTGCTGTATCTAGTTTAACCTCCACAGAACGTTATCTAACCTGGCTGCTTTATCTAGTTTTACCTCCACAGAACGTTATCTAACCTGGCTGCTTTTTCTGGTTCAACCTCCACAGAACGTTATTTAACCTGGCTGCTGTATCTAGTTAAACCTCCACAGAACGTTATCTAGCCTGACTGCTTTATCTAGTTTAACCTCCACAGAACGTTATCTAACCTGGCTGCTGTATCTAGTTTAACCTCCACAGAACGTTATCTAACCTGGCTGCTTTATCTAGTTTAACCTCCACAGAACGTTATCTAACCTGACTGCTGTATCTAGTTTAACTTCCACATAACGTTATCTGACCTGGCTGCTTTATCTAGTTTAACCTCCACAGAACGTTATCTAACCTGGCTGCTTTATCTAATTTAACCTCTACAGAACGTTATCTAACCTGGCTGCTTTATCTAATTTAACCTCTACAGAACGTTATCTAACCTGGCTGCTTTATCTAGTTTAACCTCCACAGAACGTTATCTAACCTGGCTGCTTTATCTAGTTTAACCTCCAGAAGGATTAGATCTGACATTTGAAGTGATGATTTTCTTGTTGATTTTTTATGCCTCCCCATTGTTGATTTTTGACACCTCTCTATTTTCTTCATTTGCAAAGACGCAAAGGTCTTCTTTCCTATTTGTCTTCAAAAGAAGTTTGTTAGTGCATTTGCTTTATCCACATCGTTTGATGCTTTTGATGATCGAAGTGACGTTCATCTCAGCTGAGAATGCAATAAACCATTTTGTTAACGTCATTAACAGGCATCGACATCTGGTTTGTAAATATGTGAAAACTAAAAAACAATCAGTCTTCCCTATCCTTTGTCAATATAGTAGGGTAGAGAAGACTATTTTATATTTTGGCTTATTTACATAAATTATATAGCATATACAGTTGCCTGTGATATGTCCATATTTCCAGTTCGCATTTATATTGAATTTGAACTAAAAGATTTATGGAAAAGTAGCAAAACAAATATGATGTGAATGTATTCCCACCGGAAATTGTTCGGATCTTTCCATGAACATTTTGGAAATATGAGCGGGATTAATCATTTAAATTTTCTAATTTTGACGGAAATTACTGAAAATAATTTCCGATTCGGAAATTGCCGAATGATTTCCGATTTTAGTTGTCGATTAAAAAATCATCGTGTTACCGTGAAAGTGGCTGTTCCACCAATAGGTCTAAAATAGATTGTTTAGAATGCGTCATGATACTCTTTAGTTATTAGAAGTTCTTTTTACACAACCAACAACATTTTCTATGTGACGTTTCGATGACTAGTACGATATGTACACTGTCACCTTCATTAGACAAATGACCAATGAAGCGTATGCACACAAAGGTGTAAAATGTGTACGAGTTGTCCATAAAATCGATGTCGATTTCGACTTTCGCAGATCTATGACCAAACGTTAACAACGCGCAGCTGAATTGAGTCATTTCGGTACATATATAACAACTATTGTACATACGTTTCCAGCGTAGCCGAAATCGACATCGATGGTATGGACAACTCGTACACATTTTACACCTTTGTGTGCATACACTTCATTGGTCATTTGTCTGATGAAGGTGACAGTGTACATATCGTACTAGTCATCGAAACGTCACATAGACAATTGTATTGGTTGTGTAAAAAGAACTTCTCATAATCCATACTTACCAACCTGAAGAAAATGTTTAGAAATACTCTTTACTTGTTTATTTGACCGCAGATATGAGGATTGAAATGACTCTTTTGACATTTATATGCATGGTAGGATTAACTCCGAGACGCACACATATGGAACTATGTTTAAACTGTTTGAAATGTTACTAGATGTATTTCATTCCTTAATTATATAAACATTGCTTTATTCTTTGCAGTGTGATAACATTTCATGCTGTTGTACACATCGGGAGCCGTCGGCACTTTCCGTAAACGAGAAGAGATACTTACCTGTCATTCTGTACATTAAGCCATGATTGGAAACACTTTCATTAATCTAACAAGTTTTTTTTTTTTTAAGGCTTTTTCATTTGGTATTGTTGTTGTTGTTGTTGCTGCTGTTGTTGTTGTTGAATATCTTAAATTATTTCCATATCTAAATATTTCAACACATTTCTTAAAACAGAACAAAACCTCTGTTTGATATGAATCAACATTTATTAACAAAATGTATATGGAAATAAAGTTCAGAGGTAACAAAATTATATCACATTGGCAATTACAATGACCATTATTGTTAAATAAACATTCATAAAAGGAAAACACTGATCTTTAGTAATGAACATCCTTTATTGACTATCAACATTAATTGAGTTTTTCTTCTTATTTTTCAGCCATAAAACATATATTTTGACGGCATGTAGATAAACCAAAAGAACGCACTGACAAAAACACACAAGTCACCTTAATTTGTGGAGGGGGATGGATTGGTGATAGATTAAAACGACAATTTTATAGAGAAAAGGGACAATACCCCCTATCTATGACTAGTAAAAATACGACGTTTGAATTCATATAAATAGATTTTCAGGAGCAAATGCCTTGATTTTTCTCAAACACGCTTTGGCGAATATAGTTATATGATTAAAACAATAAGTTGTAAATTTCTAGTGGGATATTTTATCGATTTTTTTATGATCAAATGAGACTGGCCGAAGGCGAGTTCTATGTTAAACAATAATAAAAAATAATATTTACAAACAAACATTGATACTTATTTTGTAAAAACATGCAATGGTGACAACTAATAAAGGAAACAATATTACAACGGTAGCTAATAGGACGTCATCATGAGCGGTAATCCCAACGTTATATGTTTCCAAAATATCACTCGTGAATGCCCCTTCGTTACGTTATAAATAAGACTCATACCTTATTAATCCTGTAATCAATCTTCCACACTTCTGAGTAACACAACCAGGAGGGTTTAATATAGGTGTCAGACGATATCCTAGTGTTAATTATTGTTAATTGTGCTAGCAAGCATACATATACTGAAAACTTAAGATTTATATCATGTTGCATTTAGCGAAAGGTTCCAGTTTTGCAAACTTACCAATATATATACCATAATCACTATAGTTCTGATACACTAAGTACATCTGTACTACGATTATCACTAAAAGCACAACGTTAGAAAACACGTGAATTGCACATAACTATAACATAACTTATATAATGAATAGGCGGGAAGGTATGACGCTCCAACAACTGACAACACCCTGCCACGCGTTATCTATGAAGTACTGGGTTAATTTGTTATCAGTAAAATGTTACCTTATAAAAAATAAAAATAAATTCTCCAAACTTATATCATTTGTATTTTACTTACACATTAGTGATACATTAATCAAAACAAAACAAAAGTTCTGATCTCTTATAAAACCTTGCATGGAGATACTTTTTTAATAGCACTGAAAAATAAAATGAATACTAATCCCTATTGAAACAATCGAATACCATCAACACTTCATTGATGAAACATTGTGAAATATTATTTAAAGCTTTAACAAACATGATTTGCCAGCACATGAAATATTGTGTTTAAAGTTATTAAACAAATCTTAAATACAAAGAAAAGGGAAAGATTGTCAAGTATTCTTCAACATTTGAACAAACATGCATCGTCAATTGTAAACGTGAATGATGTAAAATAACCGCAAATAGGATTCTGTTTTTCATTTCTTTTTACTTCTTTTTCCTTCCCTTCTACTAATACGTTCTTCTTACCAGTGTTCTACTATTATAAAATAGTTTGACATATAATTGATTTCGTTCATATTGCTTTACATGTAAATATATTGATATATTTCCTTACACATCAAATAGCAATCTCAAAGAACGGCTGTTTTTCTCTTATATGCTTTAGTATCACATATGCCATTGCTACAATAAAATACAAAACCTGTCGAGGCTCTTTCCCAAACACTGTTTACGGCTGAACCAACCGTCTGTAATTCAAGGTCGCAACTCTTCGTCCTTTTGGACAACTAACTAGACTAGGCGTCTTATATCTGCGGTCTACAAATATTTTGTCCTCGAAAAAATCCAGTTTATGATTTATTTAATAACATCCTTTCATTTTTTATCAGGCAGCATCCGGTCAGTGTTTTATTTGAAAAACATACGCTCACTGCTTCCTTTGGCACATTATGCTGATCATCACAAAATACTCGATCTGGAAGTAAAGGTAAGAACATATATAGTTAGATATATAGAGTTTTGTTATTAGGCCATGTTGAGAGTCTTACTCAAGGAATGATTTTTTATTTCAACATTCATGAGGTCATAACAACATTGGCTTTCTGGACATATTCCATGAGATGCGTAGCGACTCGTATATTATTATCATATACTTTACACACCTTAATTGATTAAGCTTTATAATCAACCCAACCATGCATGTTTAATGTCATAACAAACGACATCTAGGGTTGTTTATCGGCGGACATGAACCAAGCACGCCCTGTGCTACGTCATTGTAGTGTATCAATACGCGGTGATGATGTCACATGTGTTAAGTAAAAATAAACATCATTTTCGTCAATTGGTGCAAGCATACAGAATGTAGATATAAGAACATGCTAAGAAACATATATACAGCCGTATTGTCGGGTGGCTAAGACAAATCTTATGACATTTAAAGTCGTGCTACTAGAATATGTTCAGTGACTCGACAGTTGTGTTGCTAGCACAGTCTAGTGACATGCAGGTTTAGAGAGACATATTTTTCAAGTTTAGAGATATATAGACATAGTTCTAGAGGCAGACCGCACGATACAGAATGTACATACATACACTACAGCGTCAACACCAAAAAACAAACTCAGAAATCAAAAGGGGAAAACAGGGACCGAAAGCACACCAAAACAAAAGGGAAAATAGCATGACTTCCTACATATACTGAGAAAGGATAACAGCTTCCTACGCCAAATTCTTCACATAGTTGTGTCATGTTCATTTTCATAGAAGTTCACGAAAGTTCTTTGATAAACAAGGACAGAATACCAGTTCAAAGTTGATACCAACAATAAACCACATCTGTCATATACCACAAACAAAATAAGAACTGGAAGTTATGCAGAACAATATCAACCGAGGAGACATCAAAACAAAAGGAAAAACATCTTGGAAAGCAGGTCTTGATTACGACCGTAACATTTTCGGCGTAGAGTGAAGTTATCATGTAGAAAACCCTGGCTAAGTTGTCTATTTGTCCATGCTTAAGGAATATACAGGATATAGAAATACCGAAAAGTAAGGTGTAGGATTTTCAGTATTTTACTTGAACCCAAAGAGCATAAAAAGCTATTTTCCCAAGCATGAAACTGGTAGAGGTTTTCTGTTACAATAGAAATATCCACTATTGTACTGTAGCAATACCCCCACCCCTCCACCACCACCACAACCAACACCACCAAAAAAATAAAATAATAGGTAATCAATATATTTTTAAAAATGATTAGGGGTGGACTAAAATGAGAACTCCATAGTTAGGTATTACATGTTGTTAAAATACCGCAATATTCTGAATATATGTTTTTAAGACGAGACAGTAAAAATGCTCTAAATTGATATTGGTGAGGTATGAATAGTGAATAGACATGTCATCATTTTAGATACTAAATATATGTTTCTACCTGAAACCTCTTACCAATTCTTGTAATCGAAGCCGTCATTCACAATACCATGCTTTTGGTTCATGGTGAGATAGTCCGCACCACCATTGTACTGTGCGGTGGTGCCATACTGCGGAGGTGGACCACTGTCATCTCCCTCTCCATTATTGTTGTCAGACTCTTGCCGAAAGTCCGCGAAACTTGCCGCCGCCACAGCTGCACGTTCTTTACGTGCTGAAATAATAGGACATGATATCAGTTAAGGAACATCTAAGGTATGTCCTGCTACATCCTGAAATGGGATATAGTCACAGCACGAAATGTATATACCAATAGCGTGGTGAGGTTTTCTGGTATTTGGTCAGACATACTGTAAATGATATACAATAGTCGTTAGTATTCGTTATAAGTGGTTAAAGTGCTCAAAGTTTGCATTAAAACAGTAAACAGTAATCTAAAAGACTACGTTATGCTCGTTAGATAGTTAATAGTATTAGTTATACTATAAACCGAACCAAGCACATGAAGATCGGCTATTTTTCCAAGATGTCAAGTGAAGTATGATTTTTTCTTGTATCATCCTTGATACTGTTTCCTCAAACATCCACTGATTGTAAGATTTTTTATAGAACTTATTTATTTTATACCATTGTTTTGAAGAAATTTTGTCATACTTTCTATGCATAGTCTTTTCCCTCCAGCCATTTTGTACCATTATCATATCTCATCACACAAGTATCTGCTCTTTGAACAATAATCACATTTACTAAACAGAAATAACCATCCCTATCATACCAATAACAAACCCGTCCACACATCCAACCGTCCACCCCACCCCGTTTCCATGTTTGACACAAATTTCTCCATTAACCCAAACGACCTTCCTCTTTAACACAAACTCTTCCCACATTGAACACAAACCTTTGCCTGTCCCTCTTGCACAACACCCCTTTTAACATTAACAGTTCCCACATTTTAAACAAAAAATACACCGTTTACACAAACCACTACTCCTTTAAAAACAAACCACTTTCCCCTATTACACAAACCACTACCCCTTTAAAACAAACCACTTTCCCAATTACACAAACCACTACCCCTTTAGTTAAAACCAAAACTAATTACCATTTTTGCACATACCATTATCTCATTCAACACAAAATCCTTTAAAATAATGAATTGCCACTTTAACACTGATTAGCGTTTCCGTTAACTTTTAATACCTTCTACTTGCATTTGATTGGTGCACACAGTGTTACACAGTACTAACCAGGTGCTGGGTTACTCCACACCACTTCTGCGTCAGGTTCGTGATGGTAGGTGGGTTTATAGCCTGTTAAACGGTGCGTACACAGTGTGTTAGTGAAAAAATGAAGAAAACCATTAATAACCCAAAAGCCAGGGAGCTCGTATATGGAAAGAGTATAGCAATATTGTAGGTATTGTGTGTTAATATGCCAACAAACATTACAAGATAAACAAACAACATATAACGATCTATATGTGTAATACATTGTAGATAGCAAATTATTGTGAGTACGTCATTGTTTTATTCCCACAAAATATGACCCGAAACCGAAAAATAAAGCCATGCACTCTGGGCCGTGATCATAAAACTATTCTCTTGATCTAACGAAGACTCTCTATTGAAACCAGCTTCATTGTTACCGCACATTATTCAGCCTTCACGTTATTCATTGGTTTGAAAGATCCACTTTGAAATTTACAATGTTTACACTTCACTGTCTGACAATATGTCCTTTGATTACAGAGGATGGCGAGGCATTTTGGTTAACATAGCTCATGAGAGAAAGAGAATGGTTTCATGAATACCAGCCCTAGATCGTATTGTGAATAACAAACGTGAATTGTTTCGTGCATAACTTCACCAATGAAAATCGAAATGGTAATACCTGGGTATTTAAACCAAGCAAATCACACTTGTTAACACGTATTCGTGAAGGTAGTGTTAAGAAGGTTTCACTATTTTCGGTAATATTGAAATTGATAACGAAAGCTTTTTCATCTTGAATTGCTGTCTGGGCAAATGATTACGTAAACAAGAACGACGTCAACAATAAGTAGAATTTACTAAACTGGTGTTTCGCTCGCCACTTATTTGGATTGACATAAAGTTAAAACAAACACTTTATATCATAAAATAGGGTTTTTCATAATTTAATTGCAAGTGTTAATAATTCATGATTGCCAAAATGCCGCTTAAGATACATGTTGGAAACAAATTGAATTTTAATACATTTACAAATTCAACAGCGAAACAGCGTGAAGCGACACAACAAAGCCATGTTAGATAATCAGTGCAAACAAAGAACATTGAAATACAATAATTGGAAAGGTTAGTAAATATATGTATATCTAAAGACATAAACATATGTCAAAATGCTTGAGGAATGTGTTAATAGTGCTAACAAACTGCACATCATAATATAATATACGTGTTTAAATAGAGTAAGGCAGTGTCATCATAAATGTTTCCATCAGTGTTGAAATGGAGTAAGCTTGTGTCATTGGAGAAAATTCCAAAAGTTTATTGTAAGACAAGGGCCGACATAGCGTCATACCGTGATGGATTCGTTGTCGCCAGCGTCTGATAGCGTAAACAAAGGCCAGGATAACACAGACAATAGCTCCAATCAGCATGGTCGGGAAGAGATACTTATGCGGGAGGGGTTTATATGTCCTGGTGGTAGATGGCGGCACGGTGGTGGTCGGTACTGCTTTCAAAAATTCTGCAAAGAAAACATGTCGTCAAAATGCAACAGTTCAGTTGCCATAAAATTAAACGAGCAGACATCACTAATATTAAATCATGATTATTATCATTGAATATATTCTTCCTTATATTGTAACATAATTGCGCATTTTCTAAAATACTAAATTGTCACGTTAACTACACTGTAATTACTAAGTTGTCATATTAATTATTGATATATTATGTTGTTGCATTAATCAATTTATAAAATGGGCGCTTTAAAGAATATGTCATGTGATAAACTATGTATTAAGTAATGCTAATATGTGTACTAGATAAACAATTTTCCATTTCGATAGAATCATTGTATACAAACATAAATATGTTAAAAACCAATGGTGTTGAGATTGGTCTTATTCGTTCCAGATGACAGACATGAATTATTGTTATAGCTTTTTCTCTCACATTGCTGTTTTATCTTACAGTGCTGAAGGTTTTAAGGATCCCTGTCCATACATACTGTGTTGTTTTCTCATATACAGTAACCCCCTCCCCACATCCTTAACTTCCACTTGAATATAATTGTAGCTGGGTTGGGCCAGGACACTTTTGTTGACCAGGTAGCTCAATCGGTAAAAACGATAGTACATATTACAACCTGTATGGATTTCTTTTCAGAAATTGCAGTAGCTTTTGGCAGTGATGCGGGGATCTTAATACCATGTCTTGACTTACACTGGTGCATTTTTTTACACTGACGCATTGTCGTATACTGTTGAGTTGTCTTACATGAGATGTATGATTGATGTACTTTGATTAATGTACTGTCTTCACAAAGATGGGTTGTCTCACAGGAATGATCATCCTATAGTAATACACTATCTTAGAGTTATTTGTGTTTTACAATAACGTTTTGTGTTACAAGGAAGTTTTGTCTTACAATGATTCATTGTCCTACAGTGATGTATCGTCTTAAGTGATAGTTTCTCTTACAGTGATGTATCGTCTTAAGTGATAGTTTATCTTTCAGTGATGTTTGGTATTAAGTGATTGTTTATCTTACAGTAATGTATCGTCTTAAGTGATTGTTTATCTTTGTTTATCTTACAGTGATGTATCGTATTAAGTGATTGTTTATCTTACAGTGATGTATCGTCTTAAGTGATAGTTTATCTTACAGTGAAGCATCGTCTTAAGCGATAGTCTATCTTATAGTGATGAATCGTCTTAAGTGATAGTTTATTTTACAGTGATATATTGGTTTATTGAGTATATTGTCTTAAATCATTTTCTTACTGTGGTTTTTGACTGTGAAGTTTAACAGTGACGTATTGTCTTACAGTAGTGTCTAACAGTGACTGTTTACATCTAAAATACACTACGTACCTGTGTCTTTGCCATTGCAGTTATTGCATGTAGCACACTGGGGCTTTATCTGAAATGTCAAACAAAATACATGTACAAATTCCCTTATTACTAGTGGATCGTTCATATTATATTGAGGAAATGTCAAGATGGACACATCTAAGGGAAGGAAAGAAAATAGCTTACATACTGAAAAATTACAGCACTTTGTTTATGAAATGATAAATAATATCTAAACTTAGTATTATTTATCTCACTGTATTTTCAATAAAAAAAAACCCACTTAAATATCAAACAAATTATGTTTATATCATCAAGTGCGTCCAAAAAAACACGACTAACAACCTATCCTGACCTTGTTTTCAAATCATGCGCATACTTTTTCAACATTTTGCACACGAGGCTCGCCGAGTTTTTAAAATCTACGAAAATGGGATAATGCTATTGGCTTACATGCTATTTCAGACGGAATAAGCTGTGTCTCACATCTGCTACTGCTTATAAAAACATTTTTTCTATTTTTATAAACACAGATTGAATATAATAAGCTGTCGTAACAAAGGGAAAGTTCCAGTCGACGACCTCCAAGGAGTTTGATTGGTTGTTCGAATGAAAGTATTGTGAGGCAGATATGCATCACAAAAATATGAGAAATACAAAGATTTACAAAACGTTGTCATACTCACTGTTGCGGTGTACGATTTGCCCGCTTCAAGTACGCCGATTCCGAAAGCCAAGCTGCAAACATTCTGTTGGTCGAATGAAAATTTACATGAATTGCGGATGCTTTTACAATTCAACATAAATCCAAAACAAACAGGAAGGATGACTCAATATATTTTTAAAATATTCAGATGGGTTTATTGTTTTGAAATACGGTTCCAATGTCACATCGTTTTTTAAATGCTCCATTAAAAAGATGATCTTATGATTACTCAATCAGTAGCAAGTGACTAGATAGAGACCTTTTCATTTCCTCATTTGGAAAAACCGAACCTATTCAGGCAAACCGAAACGTAAAAAAAAATATTGACCGATTGTCTATAACAGACATCGGCTTTTCAAAATTTCGCCCATGGCTATAATTTAAAACTCTGCCATACCATCGGAAACCAATACAAGTTAAAATGATTAGACCTGACAAAAACGAACAAGAAATGATGAGACATCAAAATAGCACGAAGTAAACCATAAACACTTACTGTATACAAAACAAGTATAACAGAAATCCTCTGTAAAACTTACGTCAACAGCACAATTCCATTCCTGGGATGTAGAATTGGCAATAGTAAGTCCAAACTTGACCACGTCAGTGTCAGAGATGATTTCCAGTCCGGGAGCTATGGTAGTGTTACTGTCCAACCAACAGTTCTGGAAGTCCAACAGCACAGAACAAACATTGCCCTTGACAGCTGTCGATACGACTGTCCAACAACTGCAGAATTCAGTGACCGTTACATCACCTGTAAATATACAGAGAAGGCTACAAATCACACTGTCAAAACTCGCAGAACACTGTATACACAACAGAATAGATTTATTATTATTCTTTAAATATCGGGTAATCAGAATATCCATTCATACACGAAATTGTATGAATGTTTAAAAGAAACACCACTAAAACGTGAATAACACTTACGAACATTTTTCCATAAATGTAAGTAAACAGTAGTTCTTAATTTGAGTTAAACCAGTTTTATATACAATTTGATTATTTATGTGCACATCATGTATTGAAACTAACCAAATTCTTTAAATGTATTACATTAATATGGTAGGGGGCGGGGTAATGCCCAGTCTTTTTTTGCTTTATTGCAGTAATAGTAACAAAGTGTCCCTCCTTCAAACATTTAAATTACGGCAAATCACATTCATAAGAAAGCATTTAGCTACAAATAGATCAGGTGATATCCCACAAATATCACTAGACGTTTAAACACATACAGTGTATATACATGTACTTCAGGACAATAACCTATTCACTTACTTGTTGAAGAGTTGACTGTTCCCATTAAAACACATGCCAACGTCACGAACCATGAGAGCAACTTTACAGCCATAGTTGGTAACAAATACTGCAAGAGAAAAAAAAACATATTACTGTCTAACTCAACGTACGAATACGTTCGTTATATTGACGAACAGGTCAGTGTATGCAGACTGACTCGAATTAATGACATCAGTGGTTCCAAGTCCGACAACATCGAGTAGCGAGGAATAATGTTTTTCACGATTTCACTTTGTCCGACTACAATGTTTTCGAATCTATTGACCCAATAGAGTCACTTAGCAATGGTGTAAAGGCTCTAGATCACTGAGAGAATAGTGAAAATGTCGTGCAACCCCAATTAATTAAATATGTTATACAACGTCAGCACTTGAAGACCATTAGACACACTATCAACCTGTGTATATAATACTCATATTTATCAATCCAATGAGTGCCAGACTGTGTAGACCACAGAAAACTACGGTTACAGACTCATGATTATATTTACGACATCCTACCTCCTTTCCAAAAGAATTACAACAAGAACCTGTATTTATCTGAAATAAATGATATAAGTTTGGTCTTCATTAAATGATTACATAATTCGGAATAATCACTAATATTTTCTAAAAGGTTTCTAAAAAGGTTAAATTTATAAGTTAGCATACAACATTAGCTCGAATTGAAATCACTGTTTTAAACTTGCAAGTTAGAATGTAACGTTCATTGCCTTCCATTTCTGACACTCACAATGTTTTAAGATTTTGCCTCATTTCATTTTTGCCCGGTTTCCTACTTTTGTTAAAATAGTTGCGTAAATTTACAGGAAATTGTTAAAGTATTACTTGAGATACCATCCTTAATTCGCACTATATTACCCTTTCACTTTCATTATACTCCACAGCCTGTACACAGAGTATAGAAATGGTAAAGAACGAAAACGTTATGACCCCAAAAAGCTCAATAAACGATCTTTTTCCAGGTCAGCAAATATACTCTATTCGCTACAAACTATAGACAACCTTGTAGGCTCGTACAGGTAATATCATATTTCATCATGCTAGACATTTAAAACTAATAAACATATCTGTCGCAACCATGAACTTATCATTGCATTATATGAAATAGGCACAAGTACGACACAAATGAAATATGAAATTAGCTTTAGCAATATCATTGATTATTTTCCACTCAGGTATTTATAGAACCAACGATATTGTTTTACAATGTGAATATCACTTAAATGCTGCTGAAACTCAGAACAACAAACATACGGCGGTATTACTTATAAAAAGGTATCATAGCATACATTTAATGTCGACCTCAGCCAGTATACTGTTATGCCGTAATTAAAGTTCACACCGGAAGGCAAAAAGATGCTGGGTACAGAGACTGACCTGAGAGGTAGGCGACAGTGTCTAGTGCATCGGGGATCTTACAAAATAAATAGTTTTAAATGGATAAGCATGTTCTTTGGATGGGAATGAGGCCTTTTAGATACGCTGTCTGTTACCAATTTGTTAAATGTGCAACTACCTGTGTATGGGCTAAGTTCATATACATTGATAATATACAATGAAATGGCATGTGTCGTACCCCATTTCATTTCTATGATTTGTATACACGGAAAATTTAAATGTGAAATGCAAATACGTTAGATACATATATAGTATGTATACAGATAGTATTTTAGGATTATTGTCTATGAAAAAACAATATGCTAAACAAACTGATTACTGATCTTACTATTCCTGTACAGTGTCATACAAAGATGGCGTCTATGCCTAATTCATATACACGCAAATTGTAAACAACCGTTTAATGTGGTTAAATTGACCTATTATTTCATATACTGAGCAGATACTGAACAGAAACAGACATATATATTTCACTCTAACGTAGGGAAAATAGATAGTTAGCACAGACAATTTACAACACATAACCACAGTTCTTACCTTGTTAGATGTGTAGGATACTGATCGCTATATATATCACCTTAAGTCAAGTAAAACATGTCCCCAAACAGGACCATGCACAACACACACAACCATTCAGTACCAATACACCACAACAGTCTTTTAAAAGCTTATATCAATATATAGACCGACTCGATCCACTAGCTCTATTGTAGCAGAACAATGCACCATGGGATATTTAACCGTTGAAATAAATTCTCTGACGTATCAAGACCCATTCAACCTTGAAACGTATGGATAGGATATATGGAACAGAATCACGAGGACATATAACCGTCGATAAACAGGTATACACTGGAGACAATACACACAACTCTTTGGTATGACGTACATGTCGTTATCAATTATTGAGTATAAGTAATATTCGTATTATGTTGCTGGTTGAATGTGTGTTTATTATATTTGTTCATGTCTAGTGATTTGGCATTAACAGATATCAAATGTAATTCCGTCTCGTTTGGCATGGCTATCGAGTATTGAGTGAGGGATCATGAAACACCGTCGACTAAAATAGCCATGAGGCAGCTGATAGGTTTCAAGACATTTTCAAAACCACCCTTTCTTAATTATTATCATTATAAATATATTTGTATTTGCGTACGTTCTGTGTCACTTCATAAAAGGAATGTGGGTTTCTTAGGTAAAGGGATTGACAATTGTCCGTCAGAATACTTAAATATATATTTGTTTTGTATATAATATTTTGTAAAAGGTTTTCATCGATCAAAATGGAAAAAATATCACGTATCAATTAACGAAATAATTGATAGAAATCTAACCGTTTCTACTGCTTATAGAATATCAATAGCCAAACAAAACCTGAATGAAATATTATCGCGTGTCAGAATGATATTGCTCGCGGAAATATTATGATGTTCATTTTGATGTCCTAGGATGAAGACAATCAAATACGCCGTTATAGAGATTATATATATTGTTACACAACGCAAAGAGATGGGAATCCTGTTTCAACGTCTCTATTTCATTACTCGACAAATCATGGGTATAAGCTTTTACATTGTATATGGAAAGAGACATTTCGATGTTTCATTTCAAGTGGTAATATATCTTCCTGATATATTGAGAATCAGTTGATGATAAATCTGAATTCTAAACGCCACTGAATATTAGTACTAACACAAAGTCCAAAGCTAAAATATGTATTTAGATTATTAAAATGAAAACGCATTAAGCAAATGTTGCTACTATAAAGGTAAACATGATGAGCCTGCACGATTCGAAGAACTTGTCAACGTAACATTTAATTCAATCAAACGAAGTTTCCGTCTAGACAATCGGCTTATCGGGTGTCTGATGAGCGCAAATAGAACAGGCCTAGTGTGGCCTCCCGTACGTTTAGGTCACTTTCTCGTTTTACTAATTAAAACGATTTTGTTGTTATTTGCATTTTTGCGGGATTCCTATCCATAATAAACAAAAGAGGATTATTTCAGAATATTTTACAAGACTGAAAACCTAGAGATTCGATAAATAATTTTAGCGAAATTGAAATATTTTATGCAAAAATGTCGCTTTACTAGTGATGTCACACGTTTGATATATGAGCGTTGGTGATCATTTTCAGGCTTTTGTGATGTTCACACACATGTGTCAACTGATGTTATTTGAGAAATCGTGTATCATGGTAATGACAAAGTGTTATCAAATTATACTAACAAGATCAATTGTACAAAACACAAAGTATAATATATACACATATCAACTCGACAGAAAGTATAATATGTACACATATCAACTCGACTGATGAAAGTATAGTACATTGTAAGTAGAGTCCGTCACTCATGAAAGTTATTCCATCCTCATGAAAGTTATTCCATCATCCCTATAAATGTGTGTATATCTGTGACAAGTATAATAGAAAAGGCTTGACGTTTGGTTTGGCTTGTGCATCAGAAAATACGCTGTGGTGCCATGGCTTTTGTAATAGTGGAAACTGTAAATTACCATCCTCATAATCCCAGGAGGGTTACACTTTTGTTTTACGTTTTCTGCACCTCTGTCATGACAAAATTTAAGGCTTTCTATGCGCCACCTTAATGATGATATTAGTGGAATAGTTTGATCATTAGCTGTACATTAAAAATCGCACGGTAGCACACATGAAACCAACCAATCAGCTAGCCGTATGTCTCCAATATTGTCATTACATATTCAAAGAATGCAGAGAACGTAGGTTAGCGAAATTCCTGGACTTCAATAGGACGATAGCATACATGCTGTGGTGATATCTCGTTTGACTTCATGATCGTTGAATGTTGTCTCTTCCTTTCGGCCCGACGCTGCTAGACTGTTGCTAGGCCTTCCGTCATTAACCAACTAAACACAACCTCTGGCCTCTCTGCCTTTCTGTCCATAGAAGCAAAAAATCCTAGTCTATTTTTGGAACTCCTTGTTGAGGTATTCCGCCACCTACACGTATCCCTCCTACTAAGAAAAATGACGGTATGAAAGTCCTTATTTCATTTCTGTAACGCGAAAAGACAAACCAATTCAGCCATTGTACATTTCTACGTTTACCGTAGTAAAAAAAAATGTTATACAGTAGGTTACTTATAAAATGTGTTATGTTGGGCGGGAGATATCATACAGGATGCTCGATTTATTGGTGCATTACAAAGGTAACCCTGAAGAACATTGGCTTCCTATAGGAGTTGCTTCTTTGTCCATGTCGACTTCCTATTCCTATTGTATATTGTCCATTTTTATCGACGCTGTCGTGGATACTTTTCTTATCAACTAAGAAAGTTAGATATTGCTTTCTATTTATTTTCAAGTTTGTTTCAAATGAGTCCTAAATGGACAAATATGGTAATACACGAGTGTATATTTAAGCATTGAACTGTTTTTATATGGTATTTATGATCTATTTGAATGACACAACTTTGCAAGTATACAACATAATGCGCGCTATGTGTCATTCAAATAGATCATAAATACCATACAAAAACAGTTCAATACTTATATTTACGTTTTCTCTGTCTCTTATGTTCTTTTTTAACATATAATTTATATTTAAAATTAAAAACGCCCGCCTTATCGACAGTCCACACAATTTCGTTCAACAGTTTTAACAGCGTATTGTCGCGTGCTGATTGGTTAACAAAGTAGTACTTTGAAATTTTAACAAACACTTCAATTTTATTCCACAATTCAGTATCAATACAATTGCGTATGATATGTATATAGGGTGATTTAAGTTTAAATTGTTTCGATTTTCCCCCGGAACAAATTTCGCGCATGGACAAATACAGTGAAAACCGTAAATCTTAATAGTTTTACAAAACATTATTTTAATGGAGTCAGTGTATTGCACTCGCTCGACAGCGAAAATCGTACCGACATCCAGCTTGTGAACTGGTGTAAGCTTGTGATATGCACATGTGAAGTCAGTACACAAAATGCATCAGTCCGCATTCCATGCGCTTCATATATGACCTTCTCAAATTCGTCTGGTCTCATGTCAGTGTCTTTCCGTGACTCATATTATATCTTTCATCTTTATTTCTGAAGTACATGTGATTACACATTTCTCAGTTGAGTCTTGATATCGTCACGAACGTGCAATATTGTTTACCGGTCTTACCTTAATTACATTGCAGCATTGAAATGCCCTATAAGCAATACGGAAATGACGACACAAAAATTCGACGAGAAAAACATGTGTATTACGAAGAGTGGGATGTCCTTAATACAGAAAGATATAACGACCGACATAAAGCTAGCAGCTTTTACCATACACAGTGATCTTCATGTTCATTTCTGAAGAGCCCTGTTGAGATTGAAAGCTGCTGGTCGATCTTTATATCTTATATTTGTCTATACTTATCTACTTTACAAGATTATTTATTATTTCCAATTATTAAATATATATAAATTACAAACTTGTATTGTTTATTGACCGATTTTAAAATCTTGCCATCAAGTTATCATGAAAAAAACTATGTTGTTTAAAACAAATATTTTCTTCGCAGTATCTGTCATTTTGACGGCGTTTGTGCTAAGCTGAGTCCGCAATATCAATACGACAGTAAGCGTTTTTAATCCAGTTACCGTATTTCAATCATATACGTTAGAAAACTGCGTGAGGAAACTTACAGTTGTATATAGCATATTTCATTAGGTTTCTTTTAATTCCTACTAGTTGATAAAGTGTTATGTTAATTAGATTGATCAATATCTACAATGTACGTGTTTGCATTCTGAATCACGCAGGTCCTTTGATATTCCAACACGAACATTTCGTGGGAGCTCGTAGATGAAAGGGAACCTTGCAAATGTACCTTTCATACACTACTTTCACAACGACAGTATTGCATTACTGACATGCATTGTGTTCAAATCTTGACTTAAAAGCGACATGATTCGTATGCTCCGTGCTTCAGAGTCACAGATGACATCAGACAAAATTGAATCCAAAAGCTGTTTGGAGTGGTCGTCTCTTTGACCCAAATAGTCAATACTGAACACCTTATACATTATTTTGTACGACTGGCTAGTAAACATAGCTCGAGCCTGAGCAAGGGCGTTGTCCTGTTGTTTAAAATGTTTGAAATTTACAAAATACAAACAAGTATTATTTAGGTAATATTTTTCTCTTATTCTTTTTAAAAGATTTCTTTCAGTATCTGCCCATGTCTCTTCGGTAATATTTCCGTTCTGAGCACTTCCTTCGTGGCAGAGTTCACTAAACCTATCGCAAAGAACAAGAATTATCTTTGGCGAAGAGCTCACTTCATCAATCCCTTCAAATAGATTGGTTAAATTCGTTGTTAAATAATTAACGTCTAATTCTTGTACAGAAGTAAGGATATTTATCATACGTTGCACATGTGCGTCCAAAGGGTTTTCGGTCGCTTGAGAAGATAACTCCTTCGGAATATGAGGGTGGAAAACACCAATTTTCACGGACTGCCTTCGAATTTGTGTGTTGGGTTGTTCTGTAGGACTGTTTGGTTCGATAGGTATGGAAACATCTATAAAAAAAAAAATGAAACACATTTGTACATCGAACTTTATCTCAATAAGAAAGTGAATCTTAAACCATTGGCGCTTATAAAATGTTTGTTATCACTTGTGTGCTTTGTGGTTATGTTGTCACTACCAGTGTTCTCGATGTCAGGACGTGAAAATCCTTGTATTTGACCGAGATGAAGCTCGGATTATGGTTTTGTTGTTGTTTTTGTTTACATTTAGTTAGTAGAAGGTTTAAGAATTAATGTAGGTGACTATTTTTTCTGTTTTAGTTTAGTTGTGTTTTTATTTATTACAAATACGTAAATCGAATTCTAAATCGATGAAAATTAAGCAAAAATATAAACAAAGGAAAAGTCCTATGCATTCGGGGTGATATCTCTCTTTTTTCTATTACAAATGTTCATAGTTATTTCACAATTATTGTTGCATGGTAGCAAAGGAAATGGACCAAATAGCATCCAAATCCTTACATAAGCATATTAAAACCTTATTACCTGTTTGTGCATCTGTGGCATCACTCCCTCCATTCAGTAACGATTGTCTAGGTCCTGAAAATGATCAATTTGTAAATTGATATTAAACAATTGCAGAAGCAGTTAATACATCACTAATTATCTTGTCGAACAACTACAGATGGACATGATATTTTCTCAAAGTACATTAACTTCGTTTTAATGTCCATAGTTAAAAACCCAGTCCCATTAAAACTTTCATATACAAGCTGCATTTGCTTTATATATTCTTTGTTACACTTTCCTAAATTACAAAATGTCTCATTGTACACATAGCTACGATGTCATCATGATCACAATATTTGTTTTTCATAAGATCTGTATATATTATTGTTACATTTAACGAAATAAACAATTGTCTAGTCGTATAAATAGCAAAATACAGATGTCATAATCACAATATGTTTTGTTTTTCATATCATATGTATGTTTCTAACATATTCAGGTAATTTTAAAAGAGTTGAGTAAATATTAAATTACCTCTTCGCAGGTTCCTGTTTTTGTTTATTCGGCAAACCAACATGATGAAAATAATTGTAGCTATGGTAACAACAATTGTGACAACACCAGCCATGACCAGAAATCGTGATTTGTAGGATTCTGGAACGAGCGGGTTCTTTGGTTTAGTAGTAACAACTTCCGGAACACGGCTCCTCTTCTGATGTGTGTAGCTGATATAATCTGAAAAACAATGTTGTCCCTCTAGATTGTCGAGATGCAAATACTAACGAATTCTTATGAAACGAGAAATGATGTCAGGTAGTATTATATTCTTTAGGATTAAAATGTTGGAATAATCGTTTTCATACACTCTTATAGTAGTTTATTTAGCACTTCAATTTAATTTCAATCGTATAAGGTATTGGAATTCCGCCTATTATCGCTTATTTGGTATTCACTTGACCGAATCATTGTTATGGCCATCTATTCTCTAATCAGAGTTGTCGCTCCTTACACTAAGTGAGTGTTAGGACGATATATCTTGGAACGAATTGCTAGCCATTATTTTAAAATTTTTGAAAGCATGTTGAATAGTAATATATCGCTGATTGGTATAAAAGGATTATTTTTCCATTTTGAAACGTATATGTTTGTAAATAATTCCTTCTCAATAATTTCTAATTACAATTTAGGCGTATTGCATTGTATACCAACCTGTTTCTTTTCCATATCAACTATCACAAGATTTACAATGGGGAATAATCTGTAAAATCAGAGAAAATAAGCAGTGTCAAATTTCATTTGCATACTGTTTAGCCTAAATGACTATAATGTCTACACAAATAGAAGTAATGGAAATGAAGGTTCATAAGAAGACCATAATACTATGAACATTTCGTTATAATGATCCCCTTACTACTACTGCCAATAATCTGATTTTGCCGGCATGACTAAAGCTTTGATAATAACTTCTGAAAACCTTAACTTGCGGCAATTCATGAAACAAAGGAGGGAAAGGGAAAACGATGAATCAATAGTGATTGGAATTATACACCAGGACTGGACCAGGATTCGAACCTTTGACTTCACAATGTTAGGCGATCGCTTGAATCCACTGAGCTTCCTGGTCAAAGGGTGTGTGCGTCCCCAACTGTGCTACAGTTATATCAAACACGGAATTAAGGGGAGGTAACTGTATATACAAAAAATCTCAGTGAGACAGGGATCCTTAACTTTGGCAGAATAAAGAAAATAAAGTTTTCCCTGCTTTCTAAGTAGACGACGAAGTAGGCGATATCACTTTGTACCAATACGATGGGCATTTAAAATATATATAAACAAATGGCGTTAATTCATCTGCTATTCCCTATAAAAAAAAATCTGTCGAGTCATTTTAATATAGAAATTTGAATTTTGAAATGCTACAGACAGTTCTTGAAATTCCACATTTTCACATTTATAAACAAAACACCATTTTTCTTTATGGGCGGATTGGTCGAGTGGTTAACACTCCGGCCTTCCAAGCCGGCGGCCGAGGTTCGATCCCCGAAGTCGCCGTACGCACCTCCAACAACCCAGGTGGAGTATAAAATGGTCTGGGGTGGGTGTTGCGGTATCTGTGCTGTAGCATTCAAGTGAGGTGGCACTATAAATGTAACCGTTGGAAGCACGGTCCCACTACAAACACAACACAATAATCTCCAGCATACACACAGGCATACACACATAGGGAGATGTTAGCCAGGTGGCATAGGACTAGTAGTTAGCGCCTGATAAGGCAGCTCCTGCGAATTCCTCAATATTGTATTGATTAATATATATATGCTAATTGTATTAACTGTATATTTATGTACTGTAACGCGCTTTAGAGTGGCTTATGTTAGCGAGATAGGGCTCTACATCAAATGTTATATATTTATTTATTTATTTATCAATATTCTTCTCTAGAACACATATTACTTACTTCCAAACTTGTGTCGCTCACCATAGAAATAATAGTAAAACAACCTTTCTGTGAACATATATAGAACATTATAGAGTATATGCATAAATACAAATAGAAACAGCTATTTAGAAATTATGGAAAAGGACCCGAATATATTTCAATTAGCATTTACTATTGTTTTAGTGACAAAGGCTAGTATAAGAAGACATTTTCTTTTTATTACACCTGCAAGTGATAAGCATGTAAGTTTTGTATATTTGATATCAATGACGCATCAAATAACGTCACAATTAAATCACGAGAATTTGTCATGATCTCAGCTCTCAGATTCTACTCTATTGCGTTGAATAAACATGGTAATACGAAGATCGCAAATAAATAGTTTTTATTTTAATACGCTTATGAATCTACAAAATACGACGATTTGCCGGAGAGAAATGAATGTATGACTTACATTTAGCTGGCACTTTAACTCTTTCACCCTTAACATCTTCCGTAGGGATTCTTTAACGCCAATCTTGAATAACATGGTACTTTCGTAAGGGATGATTTGAAAACCTCCAGGATTTTTCAATGGTGATTCCCAGCAATTTTTAAAGAAGGATATATCTACATATAAATCGTTCCCAGTCCGGGTAATACTGGCATTCCAACAGCTGCAAAACTGTATCGTCGTTATCCTATCTGTTAAAATGTTATAAAATTATAATAGGTATCAACATTATCCGACTGTCAACATGATATAAAATGATAACTGGTTCCCACGCTATTCCATCCAGCAAAATAATATAACATTTTAACAGGTATCAACGCTATCCTATTTGTAAAAATATAAGAAACTGATATTAGGGTTCAACGTTTTCCCATCTGTCAAAATAACACAAAATGATAACAGGTATAAACTCTATCTGATCTGTCAACAAAATAATAAATGATAATAGGTATCAACGCTATCTCATCTGTCAAAATACTATAATATGATACAAAAGATATCAACGCTTTCCCACCTGTCAAAATAACACAAAATGATAACAGGTATAAACTCTATCCTATCTGGCAAAATAGCATAAAATGATAGTAGGTTTCAACGTTATCCCATCTGGCAAAATAGCATAAAATGATAGTAGGTTTCAACGTTATCCCATCTTGCAAAATAGCATACAATGATAACAGGTATAAACTCTATCCATCTGTCAAAATAATACAAAATGATAACAGGTATCAACTCTATCCAATCTGTCAAAATAACACAAAATGATAACAGGTATCAACGCTCCCATCTGTCAAAATTATAATAAATGATTATAGGTTTCAACGTTATCCCATCTGGCCAAATAACAATAAAATGAGTATAGGTATCAATGTTTCTCGATTAAAATGATATTATCATCAACTGTATTTTCCTAGGCCTACATTAGACCACTGACATGTTGCTACTTGAGCTACATTACTTGCAAATTATGCATTATGAAGATATGAATACCAATGAAACAAGAATCTCTATTCATTGGACAATGACACGCCAACAAGTCTAGTCTATGTGGCGACATGTCGTTTACTCGAACTAGTATAATATCTCTTATGAAAAAATCTTCTTAATTTAACAATACTTAACTACATAACAGCACACCAAACCTTATCAATGCCTCAGTTCTTGTGTACATTTCAGACATGAAAGTATATACCACTGTTATTCAAGGTGGTGTTCCATCCTGAAAATGGAAATCTTTGTCTCTCAATGTTTTCATATACAATCAAACCTCAAGGTTATTTTCCCTGATGTATTGGCAAATGGAATACTTTTTATATTCTATCTTATCATGCCCAATATTCTTGTTTTAATTGCCAGTATTGTCCTCTGTCTCTCGTTATTACTAGGAAGGGAATGGTGATAATTTAATTTAATTATGTCTTACAAAACGTCAGGACGGTTTTCAGGTGAGAAGATCTATTGATAAGCGTGGTTGATAAAACTAATTATAAATCTTCATTGATGACAAAAAATTAACTGACTGAATTGAAGTTTTTATTTGTTTCCTGGTTCAATTTTAACATATTAGAAAGATCGCTTTAATTTCGGGAAATATATTATGGTTTGAGCATATTTAAGCAACAGGATATAGGATACTGTTCATTTGACGAATTAAATCCTCGAAAGTAAATCATCGGAATTCTTATCGCAATATTAGGAATTCACGAATATGAAGTGTAGGAATGTAAAAGCTGTAAGGTAATTGAATGAAGGTAACTGAGCAAATGGACAGTACATTGTTTACGGTACCTTTGGACGATTACTGGTATACAGTATTTTATCGACATTAGATAGGGTATAGTAACTGCTTTGTGATATGCTGACATCATTGATATTGATTCATAAGTATACAAAATTGCGATTGACCACGATGACATGTAAAATTAAACAACATAAATTTGTAATTAAATCCCTTCAAATTTAAGGAATTTTATCATATGAAACATACTTACTGAAGTGCCTTGTGTCACCATGAACAGTGAATGTTACCAGACACATCCAGAAACCAATCACTAACATTCTGTAAAGAAAAATATTGCATACAATTACTACGTGCGCACATTTAATACTTTCACTAGCAGTGGTTCGTTCAGATGCAAAGTGTATGTGATGGGCTGTGATGATACACTTTTGCCCCTTGTTTAATTTGAGCATCGACCAGTTACAGTCATACATTACTGTGTACGCCAATTCAATGATATCATTGAAACCATCGACGCATGAGCTGTTCAGTCATCCGTGACGTCCATTCTGTGAGTAACTGCATCTCCTGCAAAATGAATTTGATACTTGTTAGTAATTGGCTACTATTTTATAAACTGGATATGATTAAATTTGTCGTTGTATGTGTAGTTCATCGTGAGCAGGCGATCTTCGTAGACAATTATATACTTACTTAAATCTTCAAACATTTCAATATGACACAGCCGTAACACTGCAATTACAATCATACACCTGAAGTCACACAGACTACTAGGTTTTTCGCTGCCCACTATAATCACATACGAATGACTAGGTACAAAACCATGTCTTCTCTCACTCATTTACTTATTAACGACATTGCTCGATCCAAATATGTAGGCCAATGTCTCTTATTTATTAATAAAGCATTTCTCGTGTTTAGTATTATGAGAGGAGGGGTATACTTATAATGATTATGAAAGATTTCCTTAAAGCATATCCACAGTATGGCAATATGCTACTTACCATAATTGGGTCTAAAAATAATTTTTAAAAAATCCAGTTTCAATCTTAGTCAAATCGGGGGTTAAATCATATGTTTTATGTTGTACTGTGGTGGTATGGATATTTTATTCATTGAAAAAAAAAATCGAGAAAGATGTACTTTTCCTCTATTTAAATATGGAGGTTCACCGCAGCAATTTTTTTTATTTTGTTTTTAGAATAATTTCAGTAGAATTAATGGATACTAATGACGTCAGCACTAGTTCGTTAGTGACTGCGAAATAGCAAAAATAATCTCCCGCGAAAATTCCAAACTATACAGTATTATTATACCTGGTATAGGGTTTACAAACAACATTCGCCAAACACGTCCAAACAAGTCCCTAGTTCTACCTACGTATTAATTTATCAGATGAGGAACGAGTGAGTTATCACACTTGAAAAAACAAGTATTTGCAGGACGTTATGTAAATATTTATTTGAATACTATAATTATTTGTAATCAAAGTTTCTAAGAGCTGTAATTTTGAATTTTGTTATTGTTGTATTATACATGTAGCATAAACAGTCTAATCTGGACATTTCGGAAATTGGATCCATAATGAATAATGAATTTTAAACCAAGTCTTACTTTGGTCAATTTCATAAATTACAAAGCTTTGCTTTTCGATCGCATGATATTTATTTAGGTTTGTGAATGACTGTTTCGATACACGTATAATGCTGTCCAAAAATAGTGTCTTAACATTGCATTTTTATCTACAATTATTATTTAAGATAGGCCCCTCGATCAGTTATACGCGAAACATCTTTTTTTAATATTCTTTAAAATATTGTTTAAGGAGCAGAGCAGAAAAAGTCAATTAAAACACATGACTACCAGATAATTTTATCGGAGTAGGCTATATTAAACACATGAATCCTCCAGTGAATTAACCTGGAGCGGTAACAAATTTGCCTTATGGATTTAAAAGAAACATAAAAGTACCTTTAAAATCGTTTTGGAGACAGAGGTGAATAACTTAATCATTTCGTATTTCATTGAAATTAAAATATTTTAGATTTTTTCGAAAATTATTAAGTTATTTGTGTATTTGAAAGCTTCTCAGATAAGAAAACATGCTGGAAGTAATTATATCGTTCAAATGTCAACAAAATAGTAAAAGCAGTTACAATTTTGTTTATCCTCACTTTAGGTATTTACAGACAAATTGATAAATCCAATAACATAGAAAAAATATCACTTTCCTTATAAGTACTGTATACCAAAAATACCATTTGATCTGTGACGTCACACGAAGGAAACCTATTAAATGTTCTCTTCCTATTACTGCACTGTGATGGTATGTACATGCAGTGACCTCGCCTTTATTTCCTTTTGAATATAACTTATATATTGGAGTCAGTTCATGTCTGTCGACCAGGTAGTTCAGTTGATTAAAGCGCTAGAAGCACAATTTGTAGTCCAGTAATCGACAATCACCAATCTAGTTTACATAAAAGTTGGCATATCGTTCTAGAGTACAATTGCTTATATGCATACATTCCAATGGCATTGGTCAGCTCTCAAAAGCGCAAAAGAAGAAACCCGTTCAAAATGACATTTTAGGGAATTTGCTTGGAACAAATTACCTGTAGATTCGACGCAACCCTTGGTAAAGGTCATGGTGTCCATGCTAATCTTTCCTTAATCATATTTTGCCCAAGTTTTATGGATAATTGGGCATAAGGGTGATAATTGGTGCCCTCCCCTTCCCAGGCATTTTTTTTATAAATTCAAGCATAGTACCAATCGATGATGTTATATATACTCTTAATGAAATTAGTGGATGTTTCGCATGTTTTACTGGTAAAATTGGTGTTGCTCATTTCATTGTCCCCTTGATGTTATTGAAGGCGTCTCAAAATTCGCTAAAAAGTTTCTACATATGGTTGCTAAAATGCTTCATACAATTGTTATTTCTGCTCTAGAACATCAGTGTTGTTTTTTGGGTACACAAGCACTTTAAATATCGCCTGATATATACTTATATACACATAATAAATGCAACACCCTTTTATCAACACGATTCTTAAGACAAATTTGGTTGGCATTTTGTCTACAATATAAGGTTACACTGATTGCGTGCAAATAAATATAATTTAACAGTTAACTACACCACGATAACATATAAATAAGTACTCTTATGTATCAAGTCAAAGCATGCCTAGTTTTGCGTATGTTGAGTTTCAGTACACGTGTACCGGAATAAAATTTGTACTAACCTGCAGGGCGTGTGGGAATATCAATTTCCATATTTAAAGATTACATATTTTATCCCAATAAGTCAATTGCTGACATCTCTGTGTTAATACAATTGTAAAGCCCAACAAATATCTGCAACAGCATGCGATTTATCCCTTTTTGGTTTTTCCGGGGTTAGGTAGGCGTCCTACTTTAGCCCTACTGAACGACACAAGGTCTAAGTTAGAAATCTCTTATTAATTATGAATTTCTCTGAAAATTGAACAAAGCATTCTGCTTCGTATGTAAATGTTGGTCTCATGTTTCTCTGTCTCGATTTCCGCATCGATAAAGAAACATGCCATTTTGAATTCATTATTTTATAGGCTGACATGTGATCAACCTATAAAGATAAGACATTGATATGCTTTGTAGTTGGTCTGCCTCTGTGATAGAGGTTGTCTATAAATGGTTAATTGTTTCGTGATTTAAACATAATTTGGATACTAATAACTGATTATTTTGCACAATCGCGTGAGGTTTCCATTAAATAGCGTAAAGGATCGTAAAACGAGTGTCTCAGGCTATGTTTAAAAAAGGCTTAACAGCTAACTGTTTCTTTGTTAAGCATTACATTTTGTACGGTAAGATTTGGTTAAACATTTCAGTTTAGCATGTGTTATGCTACAAGTCCAACAGATATTTTCAGTACAGTGCTCCCAAATTGGGGAAGAACAAATTGTTAATTTGTGTATTAATCCAGTTTATAACATCGCACAAAACACTCCTTCATATTTCATGAAAAAGTATTTCTACCATTTAACAGATAAGACTCTATTAGTATCAAAATAATCATCAGTAGTTATATACTAGGTTTTATACAACATCAGCATTACGTTTATTTTTATCCTAAATATGGTGTATGCCTTCTCGCAAAAACATTTTTTTCTGAAACTTAGGAGGTTAAGACACACAAAGATATATCATAAATCCCAATGAGATCGTGATGGTGACCATGCAATTATGTATAGTATCATCAACGTGCATATTTGTAAATCCCGCCTTGTATATTTGTCCGCCAGCAGTCAACATATATCACGTAAATCATGATATTTAGATGAAGCTTGTGAATGGCGTATACACTGCAACATTTAAACACCGTAGGTTCGGGAATCATGGATGTTACTATCAAGAAAGGAAACGTTCACGAAAGGAAAATTACCATCACCCCGCTTATCGTACAGCTTAATAGTAGGCTGTTTCTGCTTGTCAAGAAATTGAAAATCACAATAAGCGCCTGAAGTAGAAGAGACAATATAGTTCGATAGCCTCATAGGAAAACAAAAAACAAATCAGCAAGAATAAGGGCACAGTTTATGAATGTGTACAGTGGAAATCTTACCATCAAACTCAGCCAAGATATATTGTTAACCATTGTAAAATATTTCTCCTGGAATTAATTCATTCTGATATTCCTTGTTCTTCTCACAAGATCTCCTACAAAAATTGTTTATTTATAATGACGTTCACCTTTATTGGTGGAAAACCTCCCGTAACAAGAGAACGAAGGCGTTCCTGTAGTGTGGTATGAGGGAGTGTATATAGGGAAAAAGCCAAAAGTACTGATAAAAGAAAAACAAAAAATTGAGGGACACAATGTAAATGCTACCCTGACTTAATTGACGTAGACAATGCTTTATTAGAGTTGTACCAGGCATACTTGCTTAATTTGAATAAAATATATACAATTGAGTCGATCAAGCATCATGGTTATGTTGAAATTAGAATAAGGCTAACAGTCCCTCATGGTAGCTCTGATATGTAAATAGAGCTTACAGTCCGTCACGGTATTGTTGATATGTAAATAACTCTCCCTCTTCTACATGATAATGTTGATATCATAATAATCCCTCATAGTAATGTTAATATATAAATAAAGTTTACTCTCCGTCATGATATTGTTGATATGTAAATAAAGTGAAAGGTCCTTCATGGTTAAGATGATATGTAAATAAAGTTAACGGTCCCTCATGGTTATGTTGATGTATAAATAAAGCTAATGGTCCCTCATGGTTATGTTGAAAGATAAATAAAGTAAAAGGTCCCTCGTGGTTATGTTGATATATAAATAAAGTTAACGGCCCTCATGGTTATGTTGATAGATAAATAAAGTAAACAGTCCCTCATGGTTATGTTGATATATTAATAAAGCTAATGGTCCCTCATGGTTATGTTGATATATAAATAGAGCTAACGGTCCCTCATGGTTATGTTGATATATAAATAAAGTTAACGGTCCCTCATGGTTATGTTGATATATAAATAGAGTTAATGGTCCCACATGGTTATGTTGATATATAAATAAAGTTAACGGCCCCTATGGTTATGTTGATATATAAATAAAGTTAACGGTCCCTCATGGTTATGTTGATATATAAATAGAGTTAACGGTCCCTCATGGTTATGTTGATATATAAATAAAGTTAACGGTTCCTCATGGTTATGTTGATATATAAATAGAGCTAACAGTCCCTCATGGTTATGTTGATATATAAATAAAGTAAACAGTCCCTCATGGGTATGTTGATATATAAATAAAGTTAACGGTTCCTCATGGTTATGTTGATATATAAATAGAGCTAACAGTCCCTCATGGTTATGTTGATATATGAATAAAGTTAACGGTCCCTCATGGTTATGTTGATATATAAATAAAGTTAATGGTCCCACATGGTTATGTTGATATATAAATAAAGCTAATGGTCCCTCATGGCTATGTTGATATATAAATAGAGCTAACAGTCCCTCATGGTTATGTTGATATATAAATAAAGTTAATGGTCACACATGGTTATGTTGATATATAAATAAAGTAAACAGTCCCTCATGGTTATGTTGATATATAAATAAAGTTAACGGTCCCTCATGGTTATGTTGATATATAAATAAAGTTAACGGTCCCTCATGGTTATGTTGATATATAAATAAAGTTAACGGTCCCTCATGGTTATGTTGATATATAAATAAAGTTAACGGTCCCTCATGGTTATGTTGATATATAAATAAAGTTAACGGTCCCTCATGGTTATGTTGATATATAAATAAAGTTAACGGTCCCTCATGGTTATGTTGATATATAAATAAAGTTAACGGTCCCTCATGGTTATGTTGATATATAAATAAAGTTAACGGTCCCTCATGGTTATGTTGATATATAAATAAAGTTAACGGTCCCTCATGGTTATGTTGATATATAAATAAAGTTAACGGTCCCTCATGGTTATGTTGATATATAAATAAAGTTAATGGTCCCACATGGTTATGTTGATATATAAATAGAGCTAACGGTCCCTCATGGCTATGTTGATATATAAATAGAGCTAACGGTCCCTCATGGTTATGTTGATATATAAATAAAGTTAACGGTCCCTCATGTTTATGCTGATATATAAATAAAGTTAACGGTACCTCATGGTTATGTTGATATATAAAAAAAGTTAACGGTCCCTCACGGTTGTGTTGATATATAAATAGAGCTTACGGTCCTCAATGGTTATGATGATATACAAATTGAGCTAACGGTCCCTCATGGTTATGTTGATATATAAATAGAGCTAACGGTCCCTCATGGCTATGTTGATATATAAATAGAGCTAACGGTCCCTCATGGTTATGTTGATATATAAATAAAGTTAACGGTCCCTCATGGTTATGTTGATATGTTAATAAAGTTAACGGTCCCTCATGGTTATGTTGATATATAAATAAAGCTAACAGTCCCTCGTGGTTATGGTGATATATAAATAAAGTTAACGGTCCCTCATGGTTATGTTGATATGTAAATAAGGTTAACAGTCCCTCATGGTTATGTTGATATAAATAAAGTTAACGGTCCCTCATGGTTATGTTGATAGATAAATAAAGTTAACGGTCCCTCATTGTTATGTTGATATATTAATAAAGCTAATGGTCCCTCATGGTTATGTTGATGTATAAATAAAGCTAATGGTCCCTCATGGTTATGTTGGTATATAAAAAAAGTTAACGGTCCCTCACGGTTGTGTTGATATATAAATTGAGCTCACGGTCCTCACTGGTTATGATGATATACAAATTGAGCTAACGGTCCCTCATGGTTATGTTGATATGTAAATATATCTAACAGTCCCTCATGGTTATGTTGATATGTAAATAGGGCTAACGGTCCCTCATGGTTATGTTGATACATAAATAAAGCTAACGGTCCCTCATGGTTATGTTGATATGTAAATAAGGTTAACAGTCCCTCATGGTTATGTTGATATGTAAATAAAGCTAACGATCCTTCATGGTTATGTCGATATCTAAATAAAGCTTACGGTCCCTCGTGGTTCTGTTGATATATAGCTAAAGCTAACGGTCCCACATGGTTATGTCGATATATAAATAAAGCTAACGGTCCCTCATGGTTATGTTAATATGTAAATATATCTAACAGTCCCTCATGGTTATGTTGATATGTAAATAAAGCTAACGGTCTCTCATGGTTATGTTGATACATAAATAAAGCTAACGGTCCCTCATGGTTATGTTGATATGTAAATAGAGCTTACGGTCCTCAATGGTTATGATGATATACAAATTAAGCTAACGGTCCCTCATGGTTATGTTGATATGTAAATATATCTAACAGTCCCTCATGGTTATGTTGATATGTAAATAAAGCTAACGGTCTCTCATGGTTATGTTGATACATAAATAAAGCTAACGGTCCCTCATGGTTATGTTGATATGTGAATAGAGCTTACAGTCCTTAATGGTTATGTTGATATGTGGATAGAGTTTACTGTCCTTAATGGTTATGTTGATATGTGAATAGAGCTTACAGTCCTTAATGGTTATGTTGATATGTGATATTGGCATACTTTTTCTATAACTAAATTTTAAAGGTTCTATCACAACTTTGTACGTTACGTTCATATATCTAAATAGAGGTATCGTGTCCTCATGTCATGCTAGTATATAAATAGAGCAAACACTCCCTCGTGGTAATGTTTGAATCTAAATAGCGCTAACATTTTATCGTTGTAATATTGGTATCTTAATAGAGATAACGCTCCCTCTTAGACATGCTGATATGTATATATAGCAAATGCACTTCATTGTCATGTTGCTCATTGTATATTGTATATTGATAGTTTACCTTGAATAGGGTTTAACATTGACTAAACATACTTCATGCATGACTAGATTTGTATTGTTGCGCAATACACATATATGCTTCAATAATTGATAACGTTATTCATGCCAACCCATGACTTTGATATATTTTCAGTTTTAAGAAAAATCTGATAATTCATCCATCTATATTGATATGGTAAAGTACGTCATGCAATTTACACCTTTATATAGAAACTAGTTAGGACCCTAATATTATGACATTATATGAGTAAATTAAATCTTAACGCAAGCACATTAATATCAATACTGCAATACATAAATTATCACAAAATGGTACATGCTTATTACCTTCCCGATGCCATATTCACAACATCGGATCCTCTTCAATCTCTGCCAACAAGATTGTATTTTCTTACTCGTTATGACAACTCCAGATCGCAACAATAGAAAAACCACATGTTATAGGTATACTAGTGTGTATTGCCCTAAATTACTCAACCGACCTAACGGGTATACAAAGTCGACTGTTGACTACTTATTCGCTGGCTCTTGACATAGCAGCACGGCAATGGTGCATACCGAGAAATGTGTACTGGTCAGAGCTTGTAGAAGAAGTTCCGTTCTTGTATATAAAATGAAGAGCCATTTCCAAAGTCATTTAATACCCGCGTGTTGACAATAAAAATGTGTTGAACTCCAAACCTGTCTTTAACACATTTATTAGTCTTATCAGGAAAATATAAGTGGTTTACGATCGAAATTAATTACTGAAGAGCGTTTTGTTTTAGTATAAGAATTTTATTATACCGAATATTTACAACTGACATGATGACCTTGATTTTCTATCCTCCATATATTGATCCTTTTTTAATATTTTGAAATTGTGTTTGAGGTTGTATATGACGTGTAAGGTTGAGCGATTATCTGTGCGTAAAAATGAGATATTTATCACTAAGGTACATCACAAATTCAAAACTCAAAGTAAATATTCTCTTCCCTTTCATACCGAACAAAACGTGTTGCACGAGATGTCCATGACAACACACTGAATCTTAAATAAACACTGTAGCATGATGACGACAGATACAGTGCTTTCACACTACCAATGATCGTATATAGAAAAACAACAACAACAACAACATGAACAACAACAACAACAACAAAAACAAACAAAACAACAACAAAACAAGTGTATCTGATAAAATTGGTATAATTTTATTAAACCTTTTGTCCCTTAACATCTTAGTGATGTATAGAAACAATATTTGATATTAATCCTGATGGCCATTAGTTAGCCCCATGCGATGGTAAATATATATGTATCGTATTAACATACATATATATCAATAATATCGATAAACGTGAAGTTCATATACGTTCTCTTTACAAGAAATAGTATTTGAGCACCAGTAGTTCACCTGGACTTTCACCTCCTGAGGAAGTCGTCCAAATACATAAAGTGCTCGAATCTCCTGTTCTTAATTACATTTACAAGTGCAAAGTTCTTCGTGTTTTTTTAATTATATCGGGACACATTATTAAATACAGAAATTAAGATATAACGACCAACAAAGCACTAGTAGCTTTCACCCTTCACAGGGCTCTTTAAGTTTGTTTCTGAAGATCAGTTTGATGGGTGACAGCTGCTAGTTTTAAGTCTGTCGTTCTATCTTATCATTTCTTCACTTACATACTTCACATGATTATTTATTATTTTCAATTATCAAATATATATAAAAACAACTTGTATTGTTTATAAAGCGATTTCAAAATATCGTCATTAAATTACTGTGAAAATAAATAATGAAGAGATCAACAATATCACAAACAGTAAATCTTTCACAGACATTTTGGTAGTACATGAAATATGATTTCATCTGCAGTGTCATTTTCGCGTTTCTCGTGCTAAGATAAAACCTCAAATTCAACATGACAAAGCACGTGATACAATGTACGTGTTTATATTCTGAAACACTCACGTCTTTTGAGATTTCAACACAAAGTTTTGCCAGAGCTCGTTGATGTAAGGAAACCTTGAAGATGTACCTTTCATTTACTACTCGCACAACGACATAAATCTCTGTTCAATTGCATCACTGACATGAATTGTGTTCAAATCTTGACTTAAAAGCGACATGATTCGTATGCTCCGTGCTTCAGAGTCACAGATGACATCAGACAAAATTGAATCCAAAAGCTGTTTGAAGTGGTCGTCACTTTGACCCAAATAGTCAATACTGAACACCTTATACGACTGGCTAGTAAACATAACTCGAGCATCAGCAAGGGCGTTGTTCTGTTGTTTAAAATGTTTGAAATTTACAAAATACAAACAAGTATTATTTAGGTAATATTTTTCTCTTATTCTTTTCAAAAGATTACTTTCAGTATCTGTCCATTTCTCTTCGGTAATATTCCCGTTCTGAGCACTTCCTTCGTGGCAGAGTTCACTAAACCTATCGCAAAGAACAAGAATTATCTTTGGCGAAGAGCTCACTTCATCAATCCCTTCAAATAGATTGGTTAAATTCGTTGTTAAATAATTAACGTCTAATTCTTGTACAGAAGTAAGGATATTTATCATACGTTGCACATGTGCGTCCAAAGGGTTTTCGGTCGCTTGAGAAGATAACTCCTTCGGAATATGAGGGTGGAAAACACCAATTTTCACGGACTGCCTTCGAATTCGTGTGTTGGGTTGTTCTGTAGGACTGTTTGGTTCGATAGGTATGGAAACATCTATAAAAAAAATGAAACACATTTGTGCATCGAACTTTATCTCAATAAGAAAGTGAATCTTAAACCATTGGTGCTTATAAAATGTTTGTTATCACTTGTGTGCTTGTGTGCTTTGTGGTTATGTTGTCACTACCAGTGTTCTCGATGTCAGGACGTGAAAATCCTTGTATTTGATCGAGATGAAGCTCGGATTATGGTTTTGTTGTTGTTTTTGTTTACATTTAGTTAGTAGAAAGTTTAAGAACTAATGTAGGTGACTATTTTTTCTGTTTCAGTTTAGTTGTGTTTTTATTTATTACAAATACGTAATTCGAATTCTAAATCGATGAAAATTAAGCAAAAATATAAACAAAGGAAAAGTCCTATGCAATCCTTACATAAGCATATTAAAACCGTATTACCTGTTTGTGCATCTGTGGTATCACTCCCTACATCCACTAACGATTGTTGTTCAGGTCCTGAAAATGATCAATTTGTAAATTGATATTGAAGCAGTTAATGCGTCACTATTTACAACTACAGATGGACATGATAATTTCTCAAAGTCCATTAATTTTGTTTTAATTTTCATTAAAAACTGCATTTGTTGTATATATTCTTTGTTACACTTCACACGAAATTACAAAATGTCTCATTGTACGCATAGCGACGATGTCATCACGATCACAATATTTGTTTTTCATATGATCTGATTATAATTTTGTTACATTTAACGAAATAAACAACAGTCTAATTGAACACATAGCAAAACACAGATGTCATCATAATCACAATATATTTTGTTTTTCATATCATCTGTATGTTTCTAACATAATTATTAAGGTAATCAAGTGTTGAGAAATAATATATTACCTCTTCGCTGGATCCTGTTTTTGTTTATTCGGCATACCAACATGATGATAACAAATGTAGCTATGGTAGCAACAATTGTGACAACACCAGCCATGACCAGAAATCGTGATTTGTAGGATTCTGGGGCGAGCGGGTTCTTTGGTTTAGTAGTGACAACTTCCGGAACACGGCTCCTCTTCTGATGTGTGTAGCTGATATAATCTGAAAAACAATGTTGTCACTGCAGATTGTCGAGATGACAAGTGGGAATATTTTCTTAAGGAGTAAAATGTTGGAATAATCGTTTTCATACACTCTAGTAATTTATGTAGTACTTCAATTAACTTTAATTGTATAATGTATTGAAATTCTGTATATTATCGCTAATTGGGTATTCACGTGACCAAATCATTGTTATGGCCATTCATTCACTAATCAGAATTGTCGTTCCTTTCACTAAGTGAGTGTTAGAACGATATGCATTGGTAGGGATTGCTAGCCATTATTGTAGAATTTTTGAAAGCATGTTGAATAGTAACATATCGCTGATTGATATATAAGGATTTATCTTTCAAGTTTGAAACGTATATGTTGGTAAATAAATTCTTCTCAATAATTTCTAATTAAAATTCAGACGTATTGTATTGTATACCAACCTGTTTCTTTTCCCATACAACTATCACAAGAGTTACAAAAGGGAATAATCTGTAAATTCAGAGAAAAAAACCAGTGTCAAATTTTATTTGCGTTCTGTTTAGCATAAATGCATATACTGCTATAATGACTACACAAATATAAGTAATGGAAATGAAGACTTATAAGAAAACTTCTGAAAAGGAAACCTTAGATTGCGCGAAGTCATGAAACAAAAGAGAGAACGGTAAAACGTTGAATCAATAGTGATTGTAAATATACAGCAGGACTGGACCAGGATTCGAACCTTGGACTTCACAATGTTAGGCGATCGCTGCAATCCACTGAGTTCCTGGTCAACGGATGTGTGCCACCCCAACTGTGCTATAGTTATATCCAATACGGAATTAAGGGGATGTTACTGTGTATATAAAAAAAAACTAGTCGGACAGGAATCCTTAAATTTGGCACAATTAAAAAGTAAAAGTTTTCCCTTTTTTCACAATTGTAACAATAAGATGGGCATTTAAACTATAAATGATATAGAAATTTAAACTTTGAAACGCTACAGACAGTTCTTGAAAATCCACATTTTCACATTATAAACAAAACACCATTTATCAATATTCTTCTCTAGAACATCTATTACTTACTTCCAAACTTGTGTCTCTCACCATAGAAATAGTAGTAAAACAGCCTTTCTGTAAAAATATGAATACAAATAGAAACAGCTATTTAGAAATTATGGAAAAGGAATTGAATATATCTCAATAAGTACTACCCATTGTTTTAGTGACAAAGGTTAGTATAATACATTTTTTTCTGTATTACACTTGCAAGTGATAAGCATGTTAATGCAGTGACAGTAGTCCTATATTTGATATCAATGACGTATCGTATAACGTCACAATTAAATCACGAGGATTTGTCACGTACTCAGCTCTCGGATTCTACTCTATTGCGATGAATATTTACATAGTAATACGAAGATCGCAAATAGATAATGTTTTCAAATACGCTTCTACAAAATACGACGAATTGCCGAAGAGAAATACGTGTATGACTTACATTTAGTTGGCACTTTAACTCTTTCACCTTTAACATCTTCTGTAGGGATTCTTTAACGCTAATCTTGAATAACATGGTACTTTTGTAAGGGATGATTTGAAAACCTCCATATTTTTTCAATGGTGATTCCCAGCATTTTTTAACGAAGGTTATATCTACATATAAATCGTTCCCAGTCCGGGTAATACTGGCATTCCAACAGCTGCAAAACTGTATCAACGTTATCCCATCTGTTACAATGATATAAAATGTTTATAGGTATCAAAAGTATCCGGCTGTCAACATAATATAAAATGATAACTGGTTCCAACGCTATTCAAACCAGCAAAATAATATAAAATACTAACAGGTATTAACGTTATCCTATCTGTAAAAATATAAGAAACTGATAAAAGGTATCAACGTTTCCCTATCTGTCAAAGCAAATCAAAATGATAACAGATATCAACTCTATCCCATCTGTCAAAGTAATAATAAATGATAATAGGTATCAAATCTATCCAATCTGTTAAAATAGCACAAAATGATAACAGGTATAAATCTATCCATCTGTCAAAATGATAATAAATGATAATAGGTTCCAACGTTATCCCATCTGGCAAAATAACAATAAAATGATTTAAGGTATCAACGTTTCTTGATTTAGATGATATTATTATCAACTATATTTTCCTAAGCCTATATATGACCACTATATTACTTAAATTATGCATTATGAAGATATGAAATCGATACCAATGAAACAAGAATCTCTATTCATTGGACAATGACACGCCAACAATTCAAATGTAAGGGGGGAAATGTCGTTTACTCGAACTACTATAATACATAATGTATCTCTCATGAAATAATCGTCTTAATTTAGCAATACTTAACTACATAATAGCAAAAAAAACTTCATATCAATGAATCGATTCTGGTGTACATTTCAGACATGAAAGAATATACCACTGTTATTCAATGTGATGTTCTATACTAAAAATATGTATTTTATAAACGGACCTCGCCTATTTAAGGTAATAGGATTGTGTCCCCATTTCTCAGTAGAATTTCCTCAAATTTTGTAGTTATATTGCTTTGAAGTAATGTAAATTTTCTGCCGCAAAAAAAATATATAGGTTGTCATAATTTTAAGGAATTTAAATGGAATCTTATGTAAAAAGGAGTGACTTTTGAAAGAAAAAATGAAAGACATTTTGCAAACTAATGTCAATAAAAGTGATACTGCCATAGATTAGTATTGCATTAATGTATATCAATTTAATAAATGCTGAAATTATCCTGATTTCATTTTAACATGATAAAAAGATATATCGTAAATCGCTTTAATTTCAGGAAATATATTATGGTGTGAGAATATTTTAGCAAGGGATATATGATACTGTTCATTTTACGTATTGAATCCTCGCAAGAAAATCGTTGGAATTCTTATATCGCATTTTAAGGAATTCACAAAAATAAAGAGTTGGAATGTAAACGCTGTAAGGTAATTGAATCAAGGTAACCGATATGTTGAAGTGATGGACGGTTAATTGTTTACGTTACCTTTTGGCGATAACTGATACACAGTATGATAACGACATTAAATAGGGCATAGTAACTGCTTTGTGATTGCTAACATCATTGATATTGATTCATAAGTATTAAAAATTGCGATGGACCACGAAACCAATGACATGTACAATTAAACAACATTATTTGTAATTAAGCGACTGTTTCATATAAAATATACTTACTGAAGTGCCTTGAGTCACTATGAACAGTAAATGTTAACAGACACATCCAGAAACCAATCACAAAAATTCTGTAAAGAAAAATATAACATACAATTACTACGTGTGCACCTTTTGATACTACTAGCACTAGCTGTGGTTCGTTTAGATACAAAGTGAATGTGATAGACTGTTGTGATACATTCATGCCCAATGGACAGTTTAATTTGATAACCATCCATGACGCCCATTCTATCAATAATAGTATTCAGTAAGAATACGCTAAAACATATGTTTCTCCTGCAAAATGCTTTTGATATTTGTTGGTAAACTGGATGTTAGTTTATAGTATGAATATGAAGATTAAATTTGCCGTTGAATGTAAGATTGGTTATGAAGTAACAGGTGTAGTTTATGGTGAGCAGGCGATATTCGTAGATAATTATTTCGTACATAGCCGTAATACCGCAATTGATATCATACACCTGTGGTCACACAGACTACTAGTTTGTTCGAGCCCACTATACTTACACACGAAGGCTTAGGTACAAAACTATGTCTTCTCACACTTGTTGACGTGATTTTGGTTTTATCTTATATCTAAAGATATTGTCCTCAAGTCATATCAACGACATACCTCAATCAAAACATATATGCCTATGTCTCTTATTCATTAACAAAGCATTTCTCGTCTTTAGTATGACGAGAGAAGGGGGTTAATGTATAATGATTATAAAAGATTTCCTTCAAATATATTCCACAGTATCACAATAAGCTACTTACCAAAATTCGGTCGAAATATGATAAGTTCGTAGCCAGTTTCAATCTTAGTCAAATCGGGGATTAAATCATTATGTTTTAAGATGTTCTGAGTAGGTATGAATATTCTTTTAGTTGAAAAATAATAATTGAGGAAGATGTATAAAGCTATGTACTTTTCTTATGTTTAAATATGGATGTCCAGCGCAGCAGTTTTGAAAAATAACAGAATGGTGTCAGTAGTATTCATGGATACTTATCACTTCTGTTACTGTATATTTGTTTAATTTCGTGGTTTTTCCCGATCTGCACTAGTTCGTTTGTGACTGCGAAATAGCAAAAATAAATCTCCTGCGAAAATGCCCAACTATACATTTTTTTGATATATGTTAAACGAAAATAATTATTCAAACATTATTTTCTATTTCGTTTGTTTTGCAATCAACATTAATAAACAACGTCCATAAAGGTCCACAGCGCTAATAATGTATTTATCAGATGTACAACGAGTGACTAATTGCAGTTGTAATTGTAGGGGGCTGTTACATTAAACCGTCTACCCGAGTAGCTGCAAGACGTTATGGTTTACTATTTGAATACTGTAGTTACATGTAATCAAAGTTATTTGATGCTTTAAATTTGAATATTTGTTAGTGTTGTATCATAGCATAAACAAATATCTAATCTTAACTTTGTTTGAATTCGAGCCCAGGTCTCTTTCTGAGGCAACATCAGTGGTGGCAATGATATGATGACGTAGTCCATTACTTGTGACATTATTTATAAACAACCGTAATGTACTAAATGAATTTCAAAATAAGCGTTGCTTACGTCAATTTCATAAATTACAAAGTGATTCTTTTTGCTTGCAAGACATTTGTTTGTATTAAGGTTTGTGAATTACTGTTTCGATACACGTTATATTGTTGTTTAAAAGTGGCGTCTTAACATAACTTTTTCATCTACAACAATTCGTTAGGGTAGGCCCCTCGATTAAATATGCGTAAAACATCCTTTTCTATCATTCTTTAAAACATAACAACATTGTTCAAGAAGGAAAAGTCAATAAAACACATGACTACCAAATAATTATATCGGTGAAGGCTCTTCAGCGATATAGCCTTGAGCGGGGACAAATATGCCTTATTTCAATCATTTAACTAGCCTTTACAAACGTTTTGGGGACAGACGTGAACTAAATCATTTCGTATTTTATTGGAATTGGAACATTTTAGACTTTTCGTAAAATATTAAGTTCTTTGTGTATTTGAAAGTTCCCCAGACAAGAGATCGTGCTGGAAGTCATACAAAAAAATATCATCTGGTCTGTAACGTCATATGAGGGAGAACCTTTTAAGGGTTATATCCTATTGCTCTGTGATTTAACGTATATACAGAAACCCCAACCCCTGATTTTCATTTTTCATAAAACTGAAACATATTTCTCAAATCCCATGAAGCGTTACTTTCTTTTCAGAAATGATTTACCAACGCTATGGTCATGTCAGAAAAACAGTTCCTTGTGGGTGGTTACAGTTTTCAGGAGAAGAGTCGGATCCTTAAGTGTGTTATCAACCTTAATGACAACTCACCATTTGTTTTTGTTATTTACATTAATCATTGCTACTGATAACCTTTACAATTTACGTTAGATAAACAACTGTCAACTGCGAATGCAAGAGTTTAGAATTCTTACGTTTAAAAATGTATATATATGATATATTTATTCTTCCAGAATACATTCTAAGCATTGCAGGATTATGACCACGCACCAAGTAACGTTAATAACATTACAAACAGTCAGACTTTGACAGATTGATTTATTCACTAATTCTTCAAATATGACTGCATATTTACATAAATTGGCAAACCGGTCTCTTATACGATTGCTTGCATGCATACATTCCGATTGGTATTGGTTAGATTTCAAAAGCGCCAAACAGGAAGTCCATCCATATTAACATTTTAGGGAATTTTCTTAGAACATTTAACCTGTCCCTTGACAAAGACAATGGTATCCATGTCGTTCTTTCCTTTTCGTATTTTGCCAACGTTTTATCGACCAGGTTTCATAAAATTGATAGTTGGTTCCCTTCCATTCCCCTCCCCCTACACAAAATAAACAATTCTTTTAATATCGATTCAACTAGAATATAAGGTTATACTGATAACGTGCAAATAGATACAATTAAACAGTTAACTACACCTCGATAACATATACACACATACTCCTATTTATCCAGCATAAGCATGCCTAGTATTGCGTATGCTTAGTTTAAATATCTGCAACAGCATGCGAGTTATCCGTTTGTCGGTATTTCCGGTGTTATATAGGTGTTCTACTTTAGCCCTACTACACGACATCAGATTTCAGTTAGAAAATCGTACAAAGCATTCTGTTTCGTATGTAATTTTCGCCCCTTGTTCTCTCGGTCTCGATGTCGCATCGATATAGAAACATGCCATTTTAAATTCAATGTATTATAAGCTGAAATAAAGCCGAATACTTCAATAAAGATGAGGATACGCTTTGTAGTTGACCTGCCTCTGTGAGAGAGATTGTCTATGAATGGTGAATTGTTTAGTGATTGAAAAATACATTTGGATACATATAACTGATTGTTTTGCACAATCGCGTGGGGTTCAAACTAAATAGCCTAAAGGATCGTAAAAAGATCTAGACATAAATGCCGATAAAGTGTCACAAGCTATGCTCAAAAAAGGCTTAACACCGAACTGATTCTGTTTAAGTATTACATTTTATACGGTTAAATGTGGTTATATATTCCAGTTTAGAATGTGTTATGTTAAAAGCCCAACAAATATTTTTGGTATAGCGCTCTCCATTTGTTGTGGATATTTTAAATACAAGTGTATTAATGCAGTACCTAATTTCGAACAAAACACTAAGATGTAACGACTCCTTTATTTCTTCATGAAACTATAAGGATTTCTACCATTTAGCAGATAAGACTCTTAGGTATGCTTATTATCGTAAGTACTTATATACTAGGTTTTATAACCACATCAGAATTACATATATCTTATCCCAAATATGATGTATGCCTTCTTGCAAAAAAACAATTTTCTGAAGTTAAAGGACGTGTCTTGGTTTTACTTCGTGATGAATACATATTTGTAGATCACCTTAAACGCATTTCTATTTCGGCAGTGACATTTATGAATGGTATCACATTGCAAATACATGCTTAAGACATGACCGAAATGGTTATATAGTGCAGTAGATATTATAAACTTAGTTTTGTTTTCTGCATTAACAAATTAAATTTAGACAAGAGTTCTTTACAATGTACTCGAAATCGACAAAACTATGGCAGACTATAGAAAAAAACTGTTGCTTGGTGACCCTTAAAAAAGTACAAGGAGAAGACTCGGTATCGTCTGCTTCATCGACGTCACCCGTCATACAAATCGAGGTCAAATCCAACTAATGTCACGTCCTTATAGCTAGAAGTGACAACAAAATAGCATGATAGACTTATGCGCATTTTCAAAACCATCGACCATATCAAACAAAGACACATACCGATATAGCACATTTCCAAATGAAATTGTGATGGTGACCATTAAATTATTTAATCAACCTGCATACTGGGAAATCCCGCCTTGTATATTTGTCTGCCAGCAGTCAACATATATCACGTAAATCATGATATTTAGATGAAGCTCGTGAATGGCGTATACACTGCAACATTTAAACACCGTAGGTTCGGGAACCATGGAGGGTACTATCAAGAAAGGAAACGTTAACGAACGGAAAATTAAATTCCCCCACTTATCGTACACCGCATTAGTAAACCGACCTTGCTTGTTCTGTCAAAAGATCGAGAAAAGCGAATGAAATAGAAAAGACAATAAAGTTTGACAGTAAATTCAGCCTCATATGAAAACAAAAACAAATCAGTAAAAATATAAGGGCACAGTTTAGTGTACAGTGTGCTGGGAAATCTTACCATCAAACTCAACCAAGATGTTGTTTACCTTTTTAACATTTTTATCCTGGAATGATTTCATTTTGGTATTCGTTTGTCTTCTCGCAAAATATGCTACAAAATTGTTTACATCTGTATATTGATAATGACGTTTACCTTTATTGGGGGAAACCTCCCGTAACAAGAGAACGAAAGCGTTCCGGTAGTTTGGTATGAGGGAGTGTATATCGTGGAAGAGCCAAAAGTACTGATAAAAGAAACTATTTTGAGGAGAAGATGTTCTAAATTGACTAAATGATCTTCAAAGTCGACATACAGGATCACAATGGCAATGTTACCCTGACTTAATTGACGTATGCAATGGTTTGTTGGAATAGTGCCACGTATACTTGCTTGATTTGAATAAAGTATATACATTTGAGTTGATCAAATAACATGGGTATGTTGAAATTTAGATAAGACTAACTGTCCCTCGTTGTAATATTTATATCTAATTAAAGCTAACAGTCCTTCGTTGAAATATTGATATGTAAATAATGCTAACAGTCCGCCATGGTAATATTGAAATCCATCAATATAATGTTGATATCTAGATAGATATATTACTCTCCCTCAAGGAAACGTTGATATCTCAATAGATATGACACTCCCTATGGTAATGTTGAAATCCATCAAGATAATGTTGATATCTAGATAGATATATTACTCTCCCTCAAGGAAACGTTGATATCTCAATAGATATGACACTCCCTATGGTAATGTTGAAATCCATCAAGATAATGTTGATATCTAGATAGATATATTACTCTCCCTCAAGGAAACGTTGATATCTCAATAGATATGACACTCCCTATGGTAATGTTGAAATCCATCAAGATAATGTTGATATCTAGATAGATATATTACTCTCCCTCAAGGAAACGTTGATATCTCAATAGATATGACACTCCCTATGGTAATGTTGAAATCCATCAAGATAATGTTGATATCTAGATAGATATATTACTCTCCCTCAAGGAAACGTTGATATCTCAATAGATATGACACTCCCTATGGTAATGTTGAAATCCATCAAGATAATGTTGATATCTAGATAGATATATTACTCTCCCTCAAGGAAACGTTGATATCTCAATAGATATGACACTCCCTATGGTAATGTTGAAATCCATCAAGATAATGTTGATATCTAGATAGATATATTACTCTCCCTCAAGGAAACGTTGATATCTCAATAGATATGACACTCCCTATGGTAATGTTGACATCTAAATACACCAAACTCTCTCTCTCATGGTAATGTTGATATCTCAATAGATTTAACACTCCTCAATGAAACATTGATATCTTAATAGATCTGACACTCACTCATGGTTATATTGTTATCTTAATAGATTTAACTCTCTCTCTCTCTCTTGGAAATATTAAAACTAAATATATCTGATACCCCCTCATGGAAATGTTGATATCTAAATAGATCCATCACTCCCTCGTGGTTTTGTTGATATCTAAATAGCTCTGACACTCCCCCGCGGTATTGTTGATATCAAAATAGATCTGTCACTCCCAAATGGTAACGTTGATATCTAAATAGATATGACATTCACGCATGGCAATGTTGATATCAAAATAGATATGACATTTAATCATTGTAATGTTGATATCTAAATAAATCTATCACTCCCCTGTTTTAAAGTTGATATCTAGATATAGCTGACACTCCTTCATGGTGATGTTGATATCTAAATAGATCTGTCAATCCCTTATGGTAATGTTGATATCTAAACAAATATGATATTCCACCATAATAACGTTGATATCTAAATAAGTCTATCACTCCCCTGTTGTAAAGTTGATATCTAGATATAGCTAACACTTCCTCATGGTGATGTTGATATCAAAATAGATCTGTCAATCCCTCATGGTAATATTGATATCTAAACAGATCTGACACTCATCCATGATAATGTTGATATCTTAATAGATCTGACTCTCCCTCATAGTAATGTTGATATCTAAATAGATATGACACTCCCTCATGGTAATATTGATATCTAAACAAATCTGACAATCCCCAATGATAATGTTGATATATTAATAGATATGACACTCCCTGATGGTGATGTTGATATCTAAATAGATATGACACTCCCCCGTGGATATGTTGATATCTAAATAGATATGTCACTCCCTAATGGTTATGTGTATATCTAAATAGATATGTCACCCCCTAATAGTTATGTTGATATCTAAATAGATATGTCACCCCCTAATGGTTATGTTAATAACTAAATAGATATGTCACTCCCTAATGGTTATGTTGATATCTAAATAGATATGTCACTCCCTAATGGTAACGTCGATATCTAAAAAGATATGTCACTCCCCAATGGTTATGTTGATATCTAAATAGATATGTCACTCCCCAATGATAATGTTGTTATCTAAATAGATCAGACACACTCTCATGGTAATGTTTATATTGTAATACATTTGACATTCCCTCATGGTTGTATTGGTATATACATAGATCTGACACTCTCGCATGAAAACGTCGATATCTTAATAGATCTGACACACTCTCATAGTAATAATGATATCTAAATAGATTTGTCACTTCCTAATGGTTATGTTGATATCTAAATAGATATGTCACTCCCTAATGGTTATGTTGATATCTAAATAGATATGTCACCCCCTTATGGTAATGTTGATATCTTAACAAATCTGATATTCTACCATAATAACGTTGATATCTAAATAAGTCTATCAATCCCCTGTTGTAAAGTTGATATCTAGATATAGCTGACACTCCCTCAAGGTGATGTTGATATCAAAATAGATCTGTCAATCCCTCATGGTAATATTGATATCTAAATAGATATGACACTCCCTCATGGTAATATTGATATCTTCATAGATCTGACACTCCCTCATAGTAATGTTGATATCTAAATAGATATGACACTCCCTCATGGTGATGTTGATATCTAAATAGATATGTCGCTCCCCCATGATAATGTTGATATCTGAATAGATATATGTCACTCCCTCGTGCTGGTGTTGATATCTAAATAGATATGTCACTCCCCTATGATAATGTTGATATCTAAATAGATATGTCACCCCCTAATGGTTATGTTGATATCTTAATAGATATGTCACTCCCTAATGGTTATGTTGATATCTGAATAGATATGTCACTCCCTCGTGCTGGTGTTGATATCTAAATAGATATGTCACTCCCCTATGATAATGTTGATATCTAAATAGATATGTCCCCCCCTAATGGTTATGTTGATATCTAAATAGATATGTCACCCCCTAATGGTTATGTTGATATCTAAATAGATATGTCACTCCCTAATGGTTATGTTGATATCTAAATAGATATGTCACCCCCTAATGGTTATGTTGATATATAAATAGATATGTCACCCCCTTATAATGGTGTTGATATCTAAATAGATATGTCACTCCCCCATGATAATGTTGATATGTAAATAGATCTGACACTTCCCCCTGGTAATGTTGATATCAAATCAGAGTCAGCTCTCCTTAATGGTACTGTTAATTTTGAAATTGACTAGTATTGTTCTTAATTTTTGAATACATTAATTAAAAGGAATTGAAGCTCCCCTCCGTTTCAACAGTAGTTAAGACCTATTTGGATTTCAAACTTTTTGACCTGAGCATTGACTAAAGAGGAATCGTTGAAGGAGGAAACAGCTGTTTGATGCAGAGTTATTCATTTTTGCATACTGTTACTTAATCTTAATGTAAATAAAGCTAATGCGCTTCATTGTAATGTTGCTGATTGTATATAGATAGTCTACCTTGAGTAGGGTTTAACATTGACTAAACATACTTCACGCATGACTAGATATGTATTCTGGCGCAATACACACATATACTTCAGTAATTTATAACGTTATTCATGCCAACCCATGACTTTGATGTATCTATAATTTTTAGAAAAAGAAAAAGAAACCATATTTATTCATACTTCTATATTGATATTGCACCTGAATTTGCAAGATACTACATGTATAGTAGTTTACACATGTATATCGAAACTAGTTAGGACTTTAACGTTATGACAGTTTATATGAGTAAATCCTATCCTAACTCAAGCATAATATTACCAAGACTGCAACGCATTAAACATTACAAAATGGTATATGCTTCTTACCTTCCCGATGCCATATTCACAACATCGCGGATCCTCTTCAATCTCTGCCAACAAGATTGTTGTTTCCTTGCTCGTTATGACAACTCCAGATCGCAACACTGGAAAACACACATATTATAGGTGTGCTAGTGTATATTGCCCTAATTTACTCAACCGACCTAACGGTATACAAATTCGGCCTGTATTGACTACTGATTCGCTGGCTCTTTAAATAGCAGCGCAGCAATGGTGCATACCGGGACATGTTAACTGGTCAGAGCTTGTAGAAACATTTCCGTTCGTGTTTATACAATGACATGCCATTTTGAAAGTCATTTAACACCCGCGTGTTGACAAAAAAAAATGCTCAACTCCAAACCCTTTCTTAGATCCTTTTATCTTGTCAATTTTTGTACTTATATAAAAAAAAAAAACTAATAGATTTACTTTGAATATACATGTACAATTGTTTGACGTCAAAATGGTGGTCCGGAGGCTTTTTGTGCAAATAAACCATTGCTATTTATATTGTTATTTTATTAGTCTTGTCTGGAATAAAATGGTGGTATCAGAAATAAATAGATGGTTTATATTTGTTTTACAGGAACATTTTTACTGAAGAGTGCTTTTTTATTAAGTGTACGAATTTTATTATACAGAATATGTTCAAATGACATCTTGGCGTAGCCAGTTGTTACCCTGAATTTTCTGTCCATATATTGATCCCAGTGTTACCTTTTTTAAATTGTTCTTTGTTGTATATACCGTGTCAGGTTGGGCGATTATACGAGCGTGAAAACAAGATGTGTATCACTTCGCAAGCCATTTTTGTTACAATCTTTGTTCTAAACATGTTTATTTACGGGTCGCTTACATGTAACCAGGACACCAAGGTTTGATATCTCCTTAACAACACTTAGTGTGTGTAAATTCAAAAGTCGTCCTTTCTTTTGAAAATTAACAAATAGTCCGGTCATTCAATGACTTGGCAAACTTTCAAAAGAGTTTCAAACTATGTCATATCAATCTATGCATTATATACTGCCAAAGTTCTCACGCTTTAACAAGCGACCCGACAGAAGCAGACTTTACTTCACAATACATAGAGAATGTTCCCATGATGGCAGGTTCACTCACAGAGTAGAATTACTGCATCGTATTTCATGTTGTAAATGATTGCTAAAATATGATATTTAAGATTCCTTACTTCTTCTTCCTGTTATTGTTGATGAGAGGTTATGTTTTATCAATATATCTTTCTTGAGTTCTTTGTTTTGTTGTCACGCATCACCTCATTTGTCAAAAGCAGCAATCAGTTCATGTCCTTGTTCTAATCGCCATATATACACTGTATGAATTCACAGACGGTTTATTGTCACGGGTAACCTTAAAGGTGAAGGTTGTCATCTTGTTTTGTATATTTGATACGTTTGTGTGTACAAACAGTGAAACGTTTATGAAGATACATGGAGTGAATTAACTTAAATGTATCAATATGTGCCTGCTGACTCACGATGTCACCAGTAAAATCGGTTATTGATACTTCTATTTGGTCAATCACGTCAATCACGCAATTATAATTATATCAAGTTACTATTTGTAGTAAACGGGGGTCCACTTTTCGTCAAATGCACTTAGCTCGATGTTATCTGAAGATTTCATGTCCGGTTTGATAATGTGGGGGGGTGGGNAATTTCTAGCTAAAATCTGTTGATATATTGAACAACGATTTGGTAGGGTTTGGTTTTATTTTGTTTAACGTCCTATTAACAGCTAAGGTCATTTAAGGACGAGCTATGGTGAAGGTATGCCGTGATTTTAAATATGCTTCTGTGTCGAGACGATGCGATGAGCAAACCACTTTCGGTCTACAACATATGCCAGATTTACACGAGCTCCGGGCGTATACTTTGTATAGGAAAAAACTATCTGGAATGGAGTTTAATTGATATAACATTCAAGATCGGGATTTTATAATATCACTGAACAATTAGCGTGTCGTTAGATACTTTCATGGTCATAGTTATATGGATAAAATACGGATTTTTGAGAAAAGTGTTCGAAAAACAAATCCCAATGTGCTCAATAGTAAATTAATGTGGAGATTTCAGGCAGAACATCATGCCCAATTTCAGGCGCTTAATTAATAAAATTAAGGAAAACATACAAACAGAAACCAAATGTTAAGACGAAGTTTTCGATATATTGAGACTCGGGTTTCTATTCAGTAAAACATCACTTAAAATAATCAAACTCAAACGAAAAATATCTCGTAGATAGTGTTGTTTAATCAAACTGTACAAAATGATATTGTGCATAGATTCAGGATAACATCGATGTGAACATGAAGTGAACACAGCTATTGCAAAAAGTGTATATTTATAAATCACAATTAAAAACCTGCACAAACTCTACATGTATTCCCTTACTGTCGTGTCATGGTATCAACAATTCAAATGAAAAAAAATAGCACATCTCGCTAAATGTACATTTAACGCTTCTCAGTCTGAAGTAATCAAATATTCTAGTAATCGTAGGTTAACGGTTTTAACAGTTGAGCAGATTATGTATTTAACATTAACACCTACATAATTATGTACCAAAATTATTTTATATACATCTGATAAAGATAGATGAATAATTCATGATCTGTTTAATAGTGAACACTATACTCATGTTTAACACATGGAGTGGTGTTTTATTTCCCACCGGACATTACATGTATAGTGATACTGGACACAGGGACAATTGCATAACAGGGTAACGAATGTATTTCATTATATAGTGAGTTCGATGTAACCCATTTTATGACGAACGTGTCCTTCATGAATGCTTATATATAACACATGAAATTACGCATAAAACAGATTTTCCTTTACACACTTCACTTTCCTTAAGCAAATGGTTAATTTTATCAAGGCACATGGTTCAAAGGTCCGTCTGCAACATTATAAAATGACGAACATATTGATCGCTTCAAGGATGCAGGTAGAAGTTTACCATATTCGTTATAAACATCAAGGAGTTGTCTATCTTACTCCCCCTCTTCAGTCAATGCTAATTCGCCAGAGTCTCGGTAGTTGTTTCACAGGGACAACATCATACATTGAACATGGAATATTCACGAATGGGCTTATTACCGGACACATTGTTTATTGTTTACACAAAAGTATCCATTGTTGTAACTCTGTAGGAGTTCATACAACCAGCATTAGTTCACCAAGGCTGAGATTTACACCTGAAATAGGAAAATAAATATATTTACAACCATAAAAACGATGTGAAATAACGTTTGCTACATATCTGGATGTATGTCTCTTTCATTGAAGCATTTCATTTTTGTTTTCATTTTTTTTCCGAATCATAGTTGTAATGAATAATGCTTTGGTATGTTTGTCAAAGTCTTAACTTGATTTCTTGCGAATTCCAATTCCCAAAGTCACTGCATGTATATAAATGTTTACTAAGTTTTGAATGGTATTAAGTTAAAAAACAAATCTTCGTTTTATAATATTTATCATGAGGAGAGATGCAGTTTATCTTGGATTCAGGAATGTGATTATATACTATTCAACATATACCCTGGAATATAGCTTAAAGGGAGAGCACTCTTGTTGACTAATCGTCTCTTGCTATATAGTGTAAATGGGTTTTTTCTTATTATTTGTTTGGTGAATTGATTTCAAATTCTTTTATCTTCCCATTTTTTATTTCGCCAGAGTAAAATATTCTTTCAAGTTCGAATCTTTGCGAATAAATTATGTGATACACAATAACGAAAACAAATATTTTTAAAGAGTGTTTCTAGACCCAATATCTTACCTGAGTAGTCATGTCCACTTCCTCGGAAGACTCTCCCACTGTTGTTAGATTAGTAAAGGAAGAGGTGTCTCCGAACTCTCGCTTTACCATCTGAAGATACTTGGGATCTGACGTTACAAGCTGAAATCGTGTATAATAAATATATCAATGTTTTGTAATTAAATATGCATAATTATTTCGTAATTAACATAAAAACTTTTACACTCTGATCGTCAATACCCATCGTTAGGTCAAATATGCGAATCACGAAACACATCATGATCTTTGTTTCAAACTTAACGCAAAGTGGAAATAATATTCTACAACCAAAATGTAACTGACTTCAAAACAGAATCTTGTCGCTCAATTCATTCGACCGTTACTAAGTCTGCGCTGTCGCTATCACAAAAGTGCTAAGTATATCAAAACGATCCGAATTCTACATTTAGGCGACAGCTTTCTTGACAATTGCATGATACGCTTTACAATTTATAGACGATGCTATTTTCAAAGGTAGGGTCAACGCTTAGGGAGATTTAACATTAGCGTCGGCCCCCGCTTGGAATTTCAAAACAAGATAAATCCAAAAAGGTATGGGTATAGGAAGCTTAAATAGGAACAGTTAGTTTCAGAATTCATTTGATGATAAATGGGGCCTCATTGACTTACACCTGTGTGTGTGTTAAAGGTGCGGTAATACAATTCCTCCTAGAGCATTTAAATGACATGATTACTATAAAATGATATCATCATCGTGTGCAACATATTCCAACTGTTATTTTTATTCCGAACATTACACTATTTCAATAAAGAATTGTTCTTTTTATTGAAGATTTAAGCAGAAAAGTGTGTAAAATTTCATTTCTAATGAGATCGTTTCCATTTTTGACACGTTAATTCATATAGTTCTAAAACTAGTCTATTTTTCTTCTGAAAAGTTGGCTACCAAAAATACCTTTTAACATCAGTAATTTCAAAAAAATTGACAACCGGTTTTGTCAATAATTTAAGAAGGAGTTGTCCGGACAAACTTTTTCTACGGACAGATAGACGGATAGACAAGCTGATTCTAGTATACCCCCACCCCTAACTTCGTTGTGGGAGATATAGTAAAGTGTATAATAGTTTTATTATTAAGATTATTTTATTGTTCTTACATAATTGCATATCTGTGTCTATAACACAATCTCAACCTTAAGTAGCTCTCCAGAGGAAAGATTACTTTGGCAGAATAGAAATTCATGAGTTATTACTGCTGCACATAACTTTAAAACATGCTTAATATAATAAAGTGTTATGGTATGATACAAAAACAGAAAATGTATCGGTATTTATCATAATAAACATTGATAGTCAAATCTTCAAGATTATGTGAAATTGGGCATTGATCATGTTTGGCATGCTAAAAAAGTACCTTACCGGTTTTGATATTATATAAAAATAATTCTGTAGACAGAATACATATATGGGAAGATTTTTTAAGAAGTTTCAAATATAGACTACCATTGTAACTGTATATAGGCAAGTTGACAATGTTGGTTATATTTGAAATTTTGCGAAAATGTGCATGTTGTCCTAATTAAAAGTATCACTACGCTTACCTCATGTATACCAATATGACACATTTAGTATCAAAGTAACAGAAATTATATACTCAATACACTGTCACTATTAATTTTCAAAATAACATTCGCTTGCAATATGTATCGGTCATTTAACCTGGTGTTATGCAAGGAGGTCCTCAGGTTATCAGTAGTAGTTATGAATAATCATTTATGCAGTTATTGATCATTTTTATGTATCTACATATGGCAAAAGAATAAAAGAAATGAAAGTGGGGGCCAAATATTGACACCACTTTTTCAAATATCAAGTATGAACAAAGCTTATTTGACGGCTAGAATTTGCTTTTTAATATTTATCATCAAATGGCTTTTTTGTGTAGTTTTAATAGGGATACTGTGACTTCGGTTTATGTTTATAGCAAACTTACATTTTCGTTCTACACGTTTCATGTCATATGTCCATAATTGCAAACAAAACCAAGTATTTAAAAAAGGGATTCCTATGTCGTGATACTGGGGTTTATACCTCAATGGAACTTGATACAAATCTAGAATGAACTGTTTCATATTTCATTAAATTTAGTTGTCATCCTTAAATATGTTAATATTGTGTTTCCTTTTTTGTAGGCAACATAGAAGACTAGATAAATACATGTGCATGGATTTCCTGTGATAACATAGAAGACTAGATAAATACATGTGCATGGATTTCCTGTGATAACATAGAAGACTAGATAAATACATGTGCATGGATTTCCTGTGATAACATAGAAGACTAGATAAATACATGTGCATGGATTTCCTGTGATAACATAGAAGACTAGATAAATACATGTGCATGGATTTCCTGTGATAACATAGAAGACTAGATAAATACATGTGCATGGATTTCCTGTGATAACATAGAAGACTAGATAAATACATGTGCATGGATTTCCTGTGATAACATAGAAGACTAGATAAATACATGTGCATGGATTTCCTGTGATAACATAGAAGACTAGATAAATACATGTGCATGGATTTCCTGTGATAACATAGAAGACTAGATAAATACATGTGCATGGATTTCCTGTGATAACATAGAAGACTAGATAAATACATGTGCATGGATTTCCTGTGATAACATAGAAGACTAGATAAATACATGTGCATGGATTTCCTGTGATATGACTACAGCCTCGTGTACAGTGTAACATAGAAGACTAGATACATACATGTGCATGGATTTCCTGTGATATGACTACAGCCTCGTGTACAGTGTAATACAGACAGTTGTACTCGACTTCGTGGTAAAAGTCGGCCTTCTTTAGGATGTTCCGTCCGTCCTCTGAAGAAAATCATAATGTGAAATAGAAACCACCGGTAATGCACTGACTTCATAAACTACTACAGCCACATTAGAAACAACAACGGCAACTATTTAGCTACTGTTTATGTCAATTATTTTAGGAACTTCAGAAAGGTATTCAACTAGCCTTGAATATGCATATCGTTCTGTTCACCACTCTATGACATTGCTACGCTATACCGTCTTTGCGTATTGCAGAGCTATCTTCTCTTGGGAGCAGGTATTGATTGTTACGTCACTTGTTTGTGAGAGTAACGTCATCAATTTTTGAGAAAACGACGTAATTTTCTCACACAAACCAATGACGTAACAATCAATCCCTGCTCACAAGATAAGATAACTCTGCAATACGCAAAGACGGAATACCTCTATCTAATTCACATGGCATTCATATCAGCCAGGAGTCCATAGACCACTTTTTAAAACTTAGACTGTTCCATTCATTACACAATAACGAATTATACTAACACTAATTTGAACTTAACGCCGCTTGATTAACCGTTATAATCATCTATGAAATTAAATAAGTTATAGAAATATAAGTATACGTATTATACATCAATTATCAATATGCATGTCATCTGGAATTAGGAGGGGAATCGATAGAGCGCACTATCAATGTGTTTTAATATTAATTTTGTGACATTTTAATTGCCGAACTGTCACATTTACCTGAAATATCGGGGAACTAACAGTCTCATTTATCATTTAATGTAAAATTCATCACGAATCATATGATGATTGTTATATCAATTTCAAATCCATGCAAGGATTAAAATTTTATGTAGTAAGTATTCATAATACATTATCAATGTACATCGTACTTGTAATCTCTGTTTCACGTGTACTTTACCATTTTTCTTTATCTATCTCTCTATATCTAACTGCAAGAATTACAATTAGTGTGTATGTTATTTGTAATTGTTGTTGACTGTCAACATATTACTGCTCTTTACCAACCTCTCCAGCAATAGAACTATTGTACATGGTACTTTAACTCTCTGTTTCACTGGTTAACATATTACTGCTCTTTACCAATCGCTCCAGCAATAGAACTATTGTACATGGTACTTTAACTCTCTGTTTCATTGGTTAACATATTACTGCTCTTTACCAATCTCTCCAGCAATAGAACTATTTTACATGGTACTTTAACTCTCTGTTTCACTGGTTAACATATTACTGCTCTTTACTCACCTCTCAAACCTGCTAGAAACACTTTTATTCCCACATCTTTGTACTCGTTGACTATCTGTAATTATAAAGTATACGTAAAAATCGATCCCTTTTAACTCATCTCAAGCAATGTAAATACTCGTATCGAACTTAATCACACTCGAATTGTTTGTAAGCCGACGCATTTAATACATAGAAAAATCTTTTGATATGACAAGTTTGCAGTGTTAAAATCGATAAATATAAAAACGAAAATACAACTCTAAAACCAACACAATGATCAAATACTTAGGTAAATGCACATGTAAAATTTCTTTTATGTTGATATTTGTACAGCGGATCTATAATTTAACAGTGTATATAATTGCTTATCTAACAAAAGAATATAAACAGCATATTGAACAAAGAATCATAATGGTAAGCGTCGAGTTTTATATCAGAAACAAAGTACTTATAAGGTAGCATGTATATGAATGTGACATTGATGACCAGTTATCAAGTCACACCTGCAGTTTCAAGGCACTTCATTAAAGTGTCAGACACACTTAAACAATGAATCACCGTTCTGCTATATAACCCTAACTGCACAATCTATGACGTCACAAACACGTTACCTGGGCTAGGATTTTGACAGCACTTGTATCCACGTAATCTATGACGGAACAGTCTATAACGAGGGTGTGTATAGGAGGTATCCACGCCTTAGAAAATAGGTCCACGATTTCATTCTTCTGTTCTATCAGCAAGTTTTTATGTTCGTCAGTTAACTCCTCTGGTATCTCATCTTCTATTTCTATCTCTATGGCGTTCTTCTGACGCTCGAGCTCCTTCTGTACGGAAGAGTAATGGAGATATTTAATAATAATGTTGCATGCTGTTCTCATTTCCTTGCTTTCTATTGATGAGAAATACCCTCAACTAAGGTTATCAGCATCCACTTAATATCATATGAAATGCATCCCAACAAAATAAAACAGATCTCTCACAACATGTCACAGTTTTACCTTTTAGAATATGATGAAACCTACATGCACGATAAATCTTGAATATTTATAATATTGTAAAACTATCAATCTGAAACTTGCGTAATAACATTTTGGGAAAAAACCACAGTTGCCCTACCTTATCCTTTTTGGACTTTGACTTAATGTGTCGTTCCTCTACTTCCGCTAACTCCTGTTCCCTCTTCCTCTGTAGTAGAGCTTTGTACAATGCTCTTTGCTTCTTTCCTTTGAGTTTCCTGGGATTAAGTCCTGTTCTCTCATAAAGGCGATCCCGGAACTGTTCCGCATTAGCAAAGTACAAGGAGGACTCGAACCGAAATATCTTTATTCCTGGTAACTCATATACCTGGGGGAAAAAGACGTTGAACTCGTATTTCAAAAATATTCAAAAAGACCTAATTCACACAATCAGATTACATACTTGCTAACCAAAGCAAAACTGTACAGTGTGTGTGTCAAAAGAGACTTAGTACATGATATGTGAAAAAAGACTCGGAAAGACTTGCTACATACTGTGTGACAGAGTGAGGAAGACTGCGTACATGGTGAGTGGTTAGATATACTTGGTACATGGTGTGTGGTTAGATATACTTGGTACATGGTGTGTGTTTAGATATATTTGGTACATGGTGTGTGGTTAGATAAACTTGGTACATGGTGTGTGGTTAGATATACTTGGTACATGGTGTCTGGTTAGATATACTTTGTACATGGTTAGTGGTAAGATACACTTGGTACATGGTGGGTGGTTAGATATACTCGGTACATGGTATGTGGTTAGATAATCTTGGTACATGGTGTCTGGTTAGATATACGTGGTACATGGTGTGTTGTTAGATATACTTGGCACATGGTGAGTGGTAAGATATACTTGGTACATGGGGTGTGGTTAGATATACATGGTACATGGTGTGTTGTTAGATATACTTGGCACATGGTGTGTGTTTAGATATACGTGGTCCATGGTGTGTGGTTAGATCCACTTGGTACATGGTGAGTGGTAAGATACACTTGGTACAAGGTGTGTGGTTAGATCCACTTGGTACATGGTGTCTGGTTAGATATACGTGGCACATGGTGTGTGTTTAGATCTACTTGGTACATGGTATGTGGTTAGATATACGTGGCACATGGTGTGTGTTTAGATGTATTTGGTACATGGTGTGCGGTTAGATATACGTGGTACATGGGGTGTGTTTAGATATATTTGGTACATTGTGTGTGGTTAGATATCCGTGGTACATGGTGTATGGTTAGATATACTTTGTACATGGTGTGTGTTGTGATATATTTGGTACATGGGGTGTGTTTAGATATACGTGGTCCATGGTGTGTGGTTAGGTATACTTGGTACATGGTCTGTGGTTAGATATACATAGTACATGGTGTGTGGCAAAGCAATGAAGACTACGTACTGGGCGAACTGTACGACAAACTTGATAAAGAATATGTGTGGCAAAGAAATGAAGACTACTTACATGGGGAACGGTAAGCCAAATTTGATGAATAAGATGTGTGGCAAAGTAATGAAGACTTCTTTCATGTTGAACGGTAAGTCAAATTTAATAAATAATATGTGTGGCAAAGTAATGAAGACTACTTACATGGTGAACGGTAAGCCAAATTTGATGAATAATATGTGTGGCAAAGTAATGAAGACTACTTACATGGTGAACGGTAAGTCAAATTTGATAAATAATATGTGTGGCAAAGTAAGGAAGACTATATGACTGTCATGTGGGAAGAAACTTGGTACATGTTTTGTCAAGGAACGTTCGGACCATAATGTGTGACAAGACAGACTTATTATATGGTGTGTGACAAATTAAGGAAGACTAGGTTAATGGTGTGTGATAAAGAAACTTTAACAAAGAAAGTTCGAACGTGATGCGTCTTTAGGGATAATGAACGTTATGTGTGTCAAGGAAGGCTATACCTAGGCACACGGTATCTAATAATTGAGATTGTAACACAGAAATTCAGTACATGGTGAGCTTTAATGACTCTAAACAGCGGCATTGGGTTCAAAGTGACTGTCACGAAAGAGAATAAATGAGATTTAAGACGTGAATATATATATATATATTCATTTCTTAAAAACAGCAATGCATGATATCAAAACATATTTTACATTATTTGCTCTGAACCAAAGAAAAATGCCAAAAAGCATCTATCTTACTATATATTGTTTATATCATATTATGATAGCCAAGTAGGGAAGACTTACTTGTCGGTTTCGTTTCATGTCCTTGTACGTCGATGTTCCAGGAACTCTCCCGAGTATACAGGCATGCGGCCTACAAAAAAAAAACCCATTTATAATTGTAGCCTGTATGGAAAATTTCTTTACTATATCGACACATCAAACATTACCGAATCAGTTGTCATAGGTATCTTAAATTTACACTCAAATATAGCTTTTTGGTTTGGTATTGGAGGGTCGTTTGTACATGTATCTTGGTCCCTTTTACCCCAGCCATGTGGTTTAAATTACAAATTAAAAAAGAAATGAAGATAAATTGTTTATATAGCTTTTTGGTTTTTAACGTAAGTTAGGTTTGTTAGCAAATATGTTAGCAATTGCATGCCTTCTCACGAATGATTGCTGTTCAAAATGTGAATGTATTCCTCCTTTCGTGTTTAATCTCTTTGTCTACACAAGAAACTACATGTATATATGTTGCATATATTTACCAATTAGGACACTTACTTTTGTGAATTCCTCACTATGAAGTACAGTGCAAATATGACACCAACAAGCAGACCAAGGGCAACATCTAGAACCACGGTGGCGACAAACGTCACGAACCAAACAGCCTGTAACATAATACGTTTTAAGACAACCAATCAATAAACAATATAAAACTTTACATCGTTAGCCTGTTACATAATAAACATCACGAGATCCGTTAAGTAAACAATAGCACTATGTAACAGCGTTAACCATAATAAGTGTGCAAAAGTACAAATATGTGGATGTTATTACAAACCAAACAGTCTGTAACGTAATAAGTGTAAGGAAAAACCAATCAATGACAAATAATATCGTACAGTCTGTAACGTAATAAGTGTAAGGAAAAACCAATCAATGAAAAATAATATCGTACAGTCTGTAACGTAATAAGTGTAAGGAAAAACCAATCAATGAAAAATACAATACAGTCTGTAACGTAATAAGTGTAAGGAAACACCAATCAATGAAAAATAACATCGTACAGTCTGTAAGTGTCAAGAGTATCATTCAGTGAACAATATCAGAAATATACGATTTAACATGAAAAGAATAAAAACGGACAAATTCACACAGCCTGTTAAAATTAATATTTGCGTCATAGACAAATTATGTGACACAATTTGTGTTTAGAGTACAATTAACCAACTTAGTGGGTTCACACAGTGAACGTGTAAACATAAGTTTTAATGTAAAAAGAAATCAATAATAGCAACCAAAATGTTTAACAACGTATGCTTTACATTGTACATTGAATAAGCTCCTGTACATAATACTATTGAATTCGTTGCATCATTAATAGAAAATAATAAATGGTGCTCTAAAGCCGATAAACAGTACATAGTGCATGGTAGTTTAACAATAGTATCAGGAGACCCTTTATACGTGTCCATTATCAAAACACGTTAAGTGAAATATGTACTGACGTACACCGCGTTAGGTACTAGCGTATGTCTTCAAAACAGCTTGAACTCTATCAAAATAATTAATACTGACAAGTTCAATGGTTGAACTTTATTGAAACTAGAGAGTCATTTTCGTGAATATCAGTATCAGGGGCAATTACGATCATTGTAAAGCTTGACTTTGAAATAAACCTTATAATTCTACGCATTTGAATACTCATATATCATATCAAGGAATCGTATTCGTCTATCAATTACATTCTGCATAGTATCACGTGTTCAGATGTAACGTGTAAATGAGTCCACGTGAGGCGCACGATGATTCTATGGAATGTAATATATATCATGTTAAGTGTTATCACTCGGACGTATATGAAAGCATGCTCATCCCTCGAGATAAAACTCCTTCTCAAGTTTCGTCCTAATCAATTTCATGGCGTTTAGGTTATTGATGTCGTTGGTCGTGCACTTCATAGATTGAGCGACAAACATAAGAAGGGTAAGAAGGCTATAACCGCTTTCCCCGAGGGCACTGTGGCTGTAACTGCTTTCCCCGAGGGTACTGTAAAATGTTGCCAGAGAAATTCTCGTGCACAAAAAGTGAGGTCCCGATCGTGCATCCATGTCATTAAAAGGCAGTTAATAACATTGCTGCTATATCGCGTCAAAAGCTTTGCATAATAATGAATAGTAAAAAGTAAATTAATCCACGAACGGACAGTAGTAACATCTTCTAGTAATGACCAGTATATGTCATAAAGCCAAACTAGGGAATCAATCAGTCGATTGAATCCTTAGCCTTAATTATCAGATATGTATTCCGTGACATAAAGTGAAAGGTGCATGGCTCTGTAAATATCAAAACAAACGCAGTAGAAATCCGCAAAATTGTCAAATATAATGCAAACACCGTCGTCGGAAGCATTCTTACAGTAGAACAGACCTGTGATATTCTTATCTAGCTAGAATGTCAATTTAGACCGATTTGGCTTAGATGTCTTTAATTAACTGATTTTGTAAGCGAACGAGAAATTCGAATTGTATTAGCATGCAGATAAATTGTTTAGTATTTCCAATAAATACATGCATATTGATGTAAGTCTGTCATTGTATACTTACCAGTGACTAAAAAGGCCGAAAGGAATTTTAAATTCTCAAATACTAGTTATTACGTCACGGCTTCTATTTCATTGTAACAGAAGCGTTTTAATTTATACAAAAAGTAATATATTCGTTTGCTTATTTATTTTTTTAGTGCAATTTGTGTAGCCGGAACCTACTAAAATAGGTATATGTGAAGGGTTCCGGTGTTTGTTGCATAGACAGTTGAATTCTTATGTTAGATCTAAAGTATAGTGTCTTCTTCGTATGTGAATCATAGTGCCCGACAATAACATCGGCCATGCACTGAAACATTTATGATTCATAAAGCCAACACACATACAGAAAAATACAAATAGTTTTGATATGACATCCCGAAAAAGTCTCTTTACCATTATTCATGAACTTGTATTAAATAATTAAAGTTTTGTGTCATCATTACCATGGCGCCAGGTTATTAGGATACGGTTGGACGCCCCTCAGTATCGTCCCCGACCTAGAACCTAATATCACCTTACGAGCTGTTTGTGACAAGTATAGGCATGTTACATAGCTAATATAACAACCCGTGTTCAGGGCAAAAAAATATTCATTAAACGGAAATACAGTAATGTTTGTCGTAAAAATGTCATTTAGATACCAAACGAAGATTCCGAAATCGAACTAACTAGATGGGTCTAACACGTTTTGATATATTTCATTTATTGGGAAATACACAGTTTTGTAATTAGTAAACATTTCGCTTTGTAAAAGCATTTTATGCAGTACAATTATTTAGAGTAGAGATATCATGCAGTTCCAATAATGCGAATTATACATAGAACGGTGTTAATTACAACATTTTCCAGGCTGGCCAGCCTATCACTACAGTTATTACTTTGCATAATATGTGTAGTATTTAATAGTATATTGTTGATTTCACGACATATCACTGTCGTATATTCCATATAATACATGCAATGGTTAAACTTTATATACATAAAATTAATAATCGATATAGCTTACAGAGTATTTTATAACATCATCAGTTTTAAGTTTTTCAATTAACTTACTTCATGATTCTTAAATCATTTTTAGATAATAAGCGGCACACACAAACAAGTCAATTCATGTAAAACTCTTGCTGATGTTTTCATTCAAGCTGGTCTGGAATGTTAGTTTTTCCGGTTTTTTTATAGCAAGATGTCTGATGATGAAACATTACGCTGCAGTAAATTTTCGTCTACAAAATATCACTAAAGTAGTTACTCGATGCTTAATTTAAAATGGATTCCTAACAGTTTTCCGCAATCATGGAAAGACATAAGGCGTTTTGATTATATCTCCATATCAAAGAAGTTCTTAACGATACATATATTTCAAGTGAATTACAGTTTGAAGATAAATGCTGGGCTGGAAAAAAAGTAAATAATTTTGTTCATAGTATGAGTCTTTCCTAAATAGTTGTCTAAACAACCATTTAGTCGAACAATTTTAATCTGTTCCTTGCTTAGGTATAACCTCGGTCCCTGATTTTAAAGTAGACTCGTCCCATGTATAAGCATAGCAACAACATCTAACCTATTACAACATACAACATATTGAAATGGGATTTTGTATGAAAAAGCATTCATATTATCTTTTAGTGCATAACAAAACAACTACGTATTAATATTTAAACAATGAAATAAAAGGTTTAACATTGTAAAAAGAATTTCGATATTTTGACAAATAAAAAGTTATTTTTTATGTTCACACTAAACTGACTTATAAGGGAGAAAGGAAAATCAAACAATGGTCAGATTCAATGTTTGAGTGTTTACAATAAACAGTCAGAACTTAGCCAAAGGAAGCCAAAACGATTAGCTTGGTTTGGTTTTATTTTGTTTAACGTCCAATTAACAGCTAAAGTCATTTAAGGACGTGTTTCCACATGCGTAATGTGTGTAATGTATGCATGCTTGTGTATGTGTGCTAGAGGCAGGATATGTTGGTGTATTTGCCTCCCTGCGATAGCGCGGATTTGATGCCGACAGACCTCTGAACATAGATAGTATTAATATATAGCAACAAGCTTTGTTCAACTACAACCTGATAAGTGCTAACTAGGAGTTATAGAACTGATGTACAAGTATTCATTATCTCAAAACGGGTTAGTATCCTAGCAAAAAAAAACGCCTAGCATACATACAGTTTTTCAGAAATCATCAAAACCAGTGAAAATCATGCTATTAATAAAACAAATTCTTTCAGCAACTAACTCTCCAGAAAGGGCATGTCGTTCAAGGTCAAAGGAGTGCTTTTCAATACCACGTGTTAATGGTAAGCTGTGTATTGATTGGAAATCACTTGATTTACTGTAAATTAATCCCTACATTACACGACGTATTCGCGAATATTTAAATTTGTGAAGGAAAATGCATGTTCGTGAATATTTAAACTCCTAATGGAAACGACTTATTTGTTAAGATTAACAGTTGTAAAGGAAACTAGTTTATTACTTAGAATTGAATTTGCGAATTAAACAATTACATAAGAAAAACCTGCTTTCTTGTGTTATGATATTTATTCGCGAGATATTTAGATTTGCTATTTACCTTCTTCACAGCCATACGCAAAAATAAAAAAATTCTGAAATACAAGTGATGTTACCAATTCCTCGATTGTACGATTAATCAGGTGTGATTAAAGAGCATGATTCCGCATATCTAGGACTTTCGTATCAATCTCTTATAATAATGAAACGCGGGTTATAGCTGTAACGATGTCATATCGACCGTACCCTTGTTGGATAAATCAATCTTCGATTTTATCAAAGTATATACTATGTAACTTTCTCCCTTACTGTGAGTATGCGGTAAAAGCTATCGGATGTTTGACAGTTGTGTAGACTATAAGTATGATTATCGTCATGTTTGAATGGCATTTTAACATTGTTTCATTGGTAACATTTTATATTCAGAAGTTACTTATTATTCTGCTAAGTTAAACATTTCCGCATAGTCATGTTAATTACTGTAAAAGTTAAACATTTCGCGTGCTGAAAGGTTTACATTGTTACCCTTTTAAACTGTTCGCGTTAGCAGTAGTTCTGCAACTTTTATATTCTGTTAACATATATATATAATCCATATAATATACAAACACATATTCGCTTGTTGATATATTCGCGCTAATTTACTTGGTATAATTCGTACATGTATCTATTTCTATAGATCGATAGGATGGGACAACAGGCTATGTGATAATCGTTCTCCCATTACCATTCGTGTATCAACAGAGGTACAGCGTGAGGTCCAGTCTCAGCTGAACCATGAACAATCCGATTACACAATGTCATATACTTAATAAATAAAAAATATTTTCTCAAAAACCAAATAACTTAACCATAACAAACTCAAGGTTCCATCTTGGTTGTATTAAAAAATATTGAAATTTAAAACTAAAATTGCATGAATATAGATTATTTTTTAAATAATCATCTGAAGACAAAAATATACGAAAACAGTATATAACTTATTACATGATTTAACATCTTTAACCCAAATTTTGCAAATTTGCTTAAACGACTCGTTAGTCAGTCTTTCAATAATAGGGGGCTGGCATTGTGTTTAAATAGAACTCAGTGTACTAAATGTCGAACAATATGTATACTGTAGTTTATAAGACTAAAATGTAAATGACATCTTCAATATTATGTTTACAATGTACATAAATAGTCACAAGAGAATACACATCCTTATTATCAATATTTTACAAAAAACGTCACAAAGATGATACCAAACATGTTTCAATTTATGATAAGAGTGTTAAGAATCTTGATACTATGTCATACCTTTATCAATGAATAGATTTCATTATGCTTAAAATGAATGGTAAGACATAGTAGTATGCCGTTCTGTTAACAAAATTGCAGGAAATAGAATCATCAAAAGTAAAACACAAGTGAGTTAAGGAAAAAAGGAGTAAAACTCAGGGAATATACACTCCTGTGATACGTTAAAACAACATAGAGCACTATCTACTTCTGTAGAGATACCAGAGTTATGGAAGTGAGAAGCGTACCTCTTGGTCTTTTTCGTCCATCTCGTCCATACTGGAGCATGCCGAGGTGATGTGGGCTCCATTGATTTATAATTGAGAACCTTTCACATTGTCTTGGTCCAATATGATTACATTCATAGAATTTCCAAAGTAATAATCCTCAGATCTTTTTAATTCCAAATTATACAAAATTCAATTTTATGATGAAAAACGGTAAGAATGTATATCCATAGTGTTCTGCCTGTTTCCACAACTAATAGAATCACGCTTTTGTTTCGGCATATTTACAAAACTTGAGAGACTAACGTATCGGGTAATATCAGCTGGCACACCTGACATAGAGCAAGCTATCCGCGTGTCAGTTCAAAAAGGCACTGATGAATTACATCACAAAAAAAGAATGGTTCAAATGCAGCGATATAATCTAGAAACTCAAACTGAATGAAGCAGATCCAGGTATTGCAGACACAACCCTATTGTTGGTGACATGACAGTCGCGTTAGGTTTATCCTTTATCGGTCTATCCACTACCGTGACCGCCAATATTGAAGTCAATTTGCATGCAGCTTCCAATCATTACTTAGCCACAAGCGACGTTTTGTTTTTCCAATGTCACGGTAGATCACTCTTGCATAGATTATTTATTTTCCGATCTTCGATTAGTTTCCCATCACCTTGTCATAGCGACACATGCAATAAGGGTTAAGCTTTCACTTACAAAGTCTCGCCTGCACAGCCTCCAGAGGACTCGCATCTGGTTGAACTGTTTAAACATGCCTTTCAATGTGACGATGACAATACAGGCCAGGATGCACTGTCAAAGTAAGAAACATGAACAGGTAGAAATGTATTTGTATTAAATATTCATAGCATAATCATCTGGAGTAGGCGGAGGGCATGACGGTTACATGTCGATACCTGTGTTACTATGTATAGTAGAGCGACATTGCCCGCTCTACGTGTTACCTGGCGCTTTATATTTGGTTTCCATTTGTGTGTATATGTAGCGGTAATGTATATGCCTACCACATAATCGCAGTGAGTCCCCATATCAATATGTACTACAAATCCCCTAAGAATTGTACGAATGCCTTTCACCTATAACATACGACGGACTGAAGTTGATGATGACAATGGAACGCGTTGTCACTTATTGGCCTCGATACCATATTAGTTGGCTTCACGCGCTGTGTCGTTCCAGCGCGTGACTGTGAGGCCTCGCGGGACGACCTAGAACATGGACGGGTTCGTCAGAAGATACCTTATAGTAGATACCATTGTCCTATACACTGCATTCATCTCCATTCATAAGGAAACTCATGTGGGGCTTGTCCTACTTTTACGCTCTTTTTGTAGTATTTCGCTAGTGCCAGAAAAAAGAGGTGCTTTATCAGTTGTAGGTAGGGATACCCGAAAGTTAATTGATTTGTAGGACACGCTAGCGACATAAAGGGACATCTACGGGCGCGTAGTGTACGCGTGTTAACATATACAATACTACCAGTATGGCAGTATTGAATTATTTATAGGTAGGTGAAATATTGATATCGGTTTTAGATATTTTTGAAACACTTTACGCTGCGATAAAAGAGTTCAAGAGCACGTTATAATTGGAGCACGATACAAATACTATGTTAACGGTTACTAAACATACAAATTTAACAGTTCAACATATTGATTATAAAACCGTTCAAACAAAAGTAACATTTTGGGATGAGTCTCTTGTTTGTTTAGCACGATATCAAGTGACATCATTGTCACTATCTAACACGCTGTAAATAACATTATTGTGTTTTAGTGAATACCTCCTGGTCGACAAGTAGACGACATGGGTGTGTTAGGACCGTCCTAATCACCTGTGTATGGGACCTACCGATACCTGGCAGGTGATAATGAACCGCAATGTTAATGAGTGTCATACCCTCGTGGCATCAACGCTTCCTGTCAATGGCATAAAATTACTTACGTGTTATGCTCATGTTTCATTTTTAAATAACTACTCAAGAAGTGAAAGGCTTAAAAACAGTCTTATATAAATAGTTTATTTAAAACGTTATCGAAAGATCAACTTCATTGGCAAGGTTTGCATGAAATAATAGTTAATACAGATAATAAATATCTGTTGTAGGCAAAAGTTTTAAAGTATTTTTAGAAAAGGTTTTAAAGACATATTTCTCCTTTCTCTAGATATGATTCGGAACACTTAAGACATGCATTTTTGAATTCATTTGACCTTATGGGTCCTAAATGAACGAAATGGCGTTATGGTGAAAAAAAATGTTTACTTTTTGTTTGGTTTTATGCACTTAAAAACAAGATTTTCCATTAGTCGCATACGTTGTTTTTTTTTTTGTTTTTTTTTTTTTTCTTGATATCATTAAACAGACATAGCATGTAGATGTTTCACCAAAAGCGTCGAGAATATTTCAGAAACTAAAAGCTGACATAATCGTACGAGAAAAAATCTATAAAACATATATATATCTGCACCTATTTCGGTTTTTTTAAGTCAATCGGGATAATAGCACGAGCTCGAGCTATTCTCGGATATTGTATGGTAAACAATATCCGATAATGATAAAGAAACATGAGTGGTTTACACTTATCAATTATACAAGGACTCTCCAGTTTCAGTAAGCGTGGTATTATAACGGAAATGTTGGTTTCAATATCCAACACTATACAAACTATAAATTATAAATAAAATGACCAAATTGTTTATGATACTTTATAAATTGATCATAGATACACAGAAATAATTGAATAAGTTGAAATATCATTAATTACCGATGTCAGTTCCTCATGACAGATTACTTGGCATATATTGGATACGAAAGATTTATGTACAGATCTCCTGAATGTCATGCTGGTTGCGTTTTGAATTATCAATTGAAACAATTACGCATGGCATTGTTCAAATGCCACATTGTTATATAATATCGTTCTAACATCCAACTTTTGCATAACGAATTCAGAAAAAAATATGTCCGCGTTCGAGAATAGAGTAATTAATCATACATTGCTTCACATTTTTCGACATTTCGAATTTTCGTAAATCATGTTTTGACATTTAAAAGCCATTACATTTAACATTATGTAACAATGCGAAAGTCAATAAGTCAAGTGTTTGTCTGTGTATGTAAAATTGACACCTGATATTTAAATGATATTTGAAAGGTGCAATTTATGATTACCAACACGCCATTACAATGGACCATGCAGTTTGCAATAATTTTTCACACAGAAGAGAAAATATCCTGAACTAAATTATTTAGTCCATAAAACAATAATCCTCTACTAATACCAGGCAAAACAATCAGAAAATTGCTTTACAGGTAATGAGTGAATTGTGCATTTCCTGAAAGTATATCAATTAGCTGATTATGTCACAGCTAGTATAATGAGGCAATTGTTCGCTGATTGAAATATGTTCACAACCTGTTTATCTCTTAACTGATGACAATAGTAATTATTGTTAAGGTACTTACGTTCGGAAGCGACGAAAACATAGGTCCAATATATAGCAACACGATGAGAAGAACGAAGGACGAAAATATTCCCACCATCTGAAAAAGACAGCATTGATTTTCTTCTATGATATTTTAAGATATGAAAACTAAATACAAATTAAATCGATCAAGTGTCATTTATTTTCAATTACCAAATCACATTTATGTAATTATCATAAACAGACCAAAACAAAAATCTACTTTATTTTCACCTTGTCATTATTCATAGACGTTAATAAAAATCAACAACGTATATCTATATCATACATATGCATCGACAAACCATGTGTTATGTATTATATGCCATGGTTATATAATTCTAGGATGGCCTTACCTGGGTACAGCCCCCAGCATTGTCCTGTACAAGACTCCTGGACAGAGAGGCGGCCGAACAGAAGCACGAGAAGAACGAGCCAAGAAAGTTACACATCCCGTTAGCAACAAGTTCCTACAAAACAAATGTCAGAAGTAAAACATCGGAACTTCGTCTTTGAATACCTCATAAACAGCAAATATTTATATCGATTTTTATTTTTTTGTAATTTAAAATGCATAGCATGTATCGTGTAGGAAACAATGCAATTTAGATAGTTTTCTGCGAATGAAAAAAATACAATACAATCGGACATTTACTGTGAAATCACTTACTTTTGTGAGGTTTTTAATTTCGTTTATTTCGTGGTTGCCCTTTATCCAATAATTCATAGGTTCACGAAGTAATTACAAGTGTAACACAGTTTAAAACTATTATCCGTATGAGTGGATACTCATAATCCATGAATTCATGCACATACGAAATGGTGTTTTTTCGGGAACCACGAAATGTAGGCTCCACGATAATATCTTATTTCACAGTATAATGTATATTTACATTGTCTTTTATACAAACTGACAACTTTCGTTATCATTTATTTACAAAAGCAGAAACAATGTTAACAAACATAACTGGACAGTTAGTCAAACACAATCACACGCAGTAACAAACATAACTCGACAGTTAGTCAAACACAATCACACGCAGTAACAAACATAACTCGACAGTTAGTCAAACACAATCACACGCAGTAACAAACATAACTCGACAGTTAGTCAAACACAATCACACGCAGTAACAAACATAACTCGACAGTTAGTCAAACACAATCACACGCAGTAACAAACATAACTCGACAGTTAGTCAAACACAATCACACGCAGTAACAAACATAACTCGACAGTTAGTCAAACACAATCACACGCAGTAACAAACATAACTCGACAGTTAGTCAAACACAATCACACGCAGTAACAAACATAACTCGACAGTTAGTCAAACACAATCACACGCAGTAACAAACATAACTCGACAGTTAGTCAAACACAATCACACGCAGTAACAAACATAACTCGACAGTTAGTCAAACACAATCACACGCAGTAACAAACATAACTCGACAGTTAGTCAAACACAATCACACGCAGTAACAAACATAACTCGACAGTTAGTCAAACACAATCACACGCAGTAACAAACATAACTCGACAGTTAGTCAAACACAATCACACGCAGTAACAAACATAACTCGACAGTTAGTCAAACACAATCACACGCAGTAACAAACATAACTCGACAGTTAGTCAAACACAATCACACGCAGTAACAAACATAACTCGACAGTTAGTCAAACACAATCACACGCAGTAACAAACATAACTCGACAGTTAGTCAAACACAATCACACGCAGTAACAAACATAACTCGACAGTTAGTCAAACACAATCACACGCAGTAACAAACATAACTCGACAGTTAGTCAAACACAATCACACGCAGTAACAAACATAACTCGACAGTTAGTCAAACACAATCACACGCAGTAACAAACATAACTCGACAGTTAGTCAAACACAATCACACGCAGTAACAAACATAACTCGACAGTTAGTCAAACACAATCACACGCAGTAACAAACATAACTCGACAGTTAGTCAAACACAATCACACGCAGTAACAAACATAACTCGACAGTTAGTCAAACACAATCACACGCAGTAACAAACATAACTCGACAGTTAGTCAAACACAATCACACGCAGTAACAAACATAACTCGACAGTTAGTCAAACACAATCACACGCAGTAACAAACATAACTCGACAGTTAGTCAAACACAATCACACGCAGTAACAAACATAACTCGACAGTTAGTCAAACACAATCACACGCAGTAACAAACATAACTCGACAGTTAGTCAAACACAATCACACGCAGTAACAAACATAACTCGACAGTTAGTCAAACACAATCACACGCAGTAACAAACATAACTCGACAGTTAGTCAAACACAATCACACGCAGTAACAAACATAACTCGACAGTTAGTCAAACACAATCACACGCAGTAACAAACATAACTCGACAGTTAGTCAAACACAATCACACGCAGTAACAAACATAACTCGACAGTTAGTCAAACACAATCACACGCAGTAACAAACATAACTCGACAGTTAGTCAAACACAATCACACGCAGTAACAAACATAACTCGACAGTTAGTCAAACACAATCACACGCAGTAACAAACATAACTCGACAGTTAGTCAAACACAATCACACGCAGTAACAAACATAACTCGACAGTTAGTCAAACACAATCACACGCAGTAACAAACATAACTCGACAGTTAGTCAAACACAATCACACGCAGTAACAAACATAACTCGACAGTTAGTCAAACACAATCACACGCAGTAACAAACATAACTCGACAGTTAGTCAAACACAATCACACGCAGTAACAAACATAACTCGACAGTTAGTCAAACACAATCACACGCAGTAACAAACATAACTCGACAGTTAGTCAAACACAATCACACGCAGTAACAAACATAACTCGACAGTTAGTCAAACACAATCACACGCAGTAACAAACATAACTCGACAGTTAGTCAAACACAATCACACGCAGTAACAAACATAACTCGACAGTTAGTCAAACACAATCACACGCAGTAACAAACATAACTCGACAGTTAGTCAAACACAATCACACGCAGTAACAAACATAACTCGACAGTTAGTCAAACACAATCACACGCAGTAACAAACATAACTCGACAGTTAGTCAAACACAATCACACGCAGTAACAAACATAACTCGACAGTTAGTCAAACACATTCACACGCAGTAACAAACATAACTCGACACTTAGTCAAACACATTCACACGCAGTAACAAACATAACTCGACACTTAGTCAAACACAATCACACACAGTAACAAACATAACTCGACACTTAGTCAAACACAATCACACACAGTAACAAACATAACTCGACACTTAGTCAAACACAATCACACGCAGTAACAAACAGTGGCGTACCTGGTTTGTGTTTACGGGATAGTCGTGTTTCTCAGCCAGTATTTTGGCCATGGCATAGGAGATGGTGAAGGCCACGAAGCCCATTATAAGACCGTCTGCGAATGTCTCCCCCACGAACCGCAGATTGTGGATGCTGGCCGGGGGCAGGCTGAGTTAGAGTAGAATAGATATCTTATATAGATTACCGTAAACAACAGTTCTGATCGAGGCTATAGTTAAATGATTTTGAAGGCAAATTCAATCACTTACAATGCTTATCCATGTCAACTTAGCAAAGACGACATTAATACGCAATTTCCGACAATGTCAAATGTGAATTTATGTAGCACATTGATAAATAAGATACTATATTATCAGATTATGTAACTATTACAAAGTCAAATTACGTACGACATTTAATTGTATATGATGTTTCTTCCTGTGTGGTATTTTAAGATAATGAATGAAAAAGTTATATTGTATATAGCAACGTTAATAGATGTTTAACGAAAAATTGAAGTAAGACAATGTGTCGAAAGATTAAATATTTAAAAATGTTACATAACGTATGACAATGTAGCATACCATATGCTAATCTACATAATACATCACAATCACATATAAGTTATGACACTGATACATTGACGCATTTTTGTTCTCTTTTACGCACACTTTTGCCTGCACCTCGAGGTATAGAAACTGATAGAGCATGCCAACACGATGTCTTTCCGCCATACAGCTGTACGTGACTTACCCTCTTGGAATCATGCCGACCACGTCTACTTGGAACTCCTCGTTTATTTTCGTATAGTACGATATCACAGTAGCGGCAATGACCTTTGAAAGAAAGAAACCAGCCGATATTAAATTCATACCAGGAAATATAAATAGTACATTGCTATAAAAAACGCATCCGATGTTGATAACTTGATAGTTTTTATCTTGACAGTAGCTTATTAGGCAATTCATTATTAGGCGTTATGTTGATACCGGAAGTGTAATTTGTAATGGGTTTCGTATTTGAAACATGATCAATGTAAGCTCTTGCAATACTGATCGTAGATCTATACACATCTTTCCGTGATGCGATGTCGAAATTGAAGCCTCGCGAGTTTCTTAAACTTAGGTACAGGGATGGAACGAATGTCACCACAGCATCGGTTGCTGCTAGGTACTGGGACTATTATCACCTATTCACCATTCCTTTGATTAACTTTTTGGGGGATTACTTATTCAAATATCTGCAGATTTGCACAACTTGCACCTCATTTCACAACTATGGTCGAGTTCGCGAGGCAAGTGGGTTACAGGAAACATACTTTTTTCAGTGGTGCGCTTATTTTAGCGCCTTTTTGCGCTCTCATTGACGCTCTACCTGATGTACAACTCTGAGGTAGTTTTTACACTACAAGGAGACAAGGTTGTGCACGATGAACATAATGTGGCCAAAAGAGTTCTATGGTTACATATGCTGGTAGATCGGATATAAACGGCAAGATAAAATACCAAAATGAAGACCATGTGTTTAATAAATCAGATTACTTTCGGAGAGTGATGATTATTTACAACAGTGAGTTCTATATGACATTGTGTAGGGACTGTTCGACGGCGCTGTAGTTGAACAGGAAGGACAAATGTTACCGACTACAACAAGCTGGTAGGTCGGGCTGTGTTTGTGAACAAGTGTCATTGCAAGCACCGGTTTATGTTGAATCTTACAACTGTTCAACTAAACTCTTTTCCAAAATATTAAAGTACGAATATGACTTACCACAATAAGCTCTATGGGTATGGGTGCTGGTAGGTCGCGTTGACAGGACGGGTTGTAGTTCACCCCCTCCTTAATGAGTATGAGGATGAAGATACAGGTCACAGAGGCTGTGGCTGTTACCGGGTTTATGGTGTGGATATTGTTGAAAAAATCTCTGTAAAACTGCACAAAATAATTCATATTGAGAAAAGGAAGCACCTGGTATTATTTTGTGTATGTACTATTCTCATTACGCACAAAATAAGGAGAGAACACAGTCAGAAATACATTAGGTTTGCCAGCTTCCGCTCAATTGTAGTTGAAAATAAATCTAGATGACAAGCATTCGTACACAGATTGAAAATGAAATATTTCAGCTTCAAATGTATGTTAGGTATCCACAAAATATTGAAGAATATGAAAATGTATTTTGTTACTTAAATTTAAAATTGGACCTGAACATAAAATTTGAGTTTGAGCACGAGAGCGGATTTATGCATACGGCCTGGGTCACCATATCACTGACGTTTTGCTCTGTTTATGTTACAGTTTTTCGCGAGGCTGTTTTTCTCCGCGTTATTTTGGTTGAAACCATTGACGTAGTAATAATAACAAACTTTAACTTCAATGACGAAAAACAATTACATCACATATGCGTAACAAATGCTCTTCTGCACATTAATAGTAAACTACTCGTGAAAGTGATCATATTTCATCAATTCATCAAAAAAAATGTGAACGATTAATTTGCTGAAGAGTCTCTCTCTTGAACAGTTTTACTTCGGTAAGCAGAGTACACGTGATTGGCGATCGCTCTGGCAAAGTCACGTGACACGATGGAAATTAACTTCACTAAATTTTCTAATTTCAAATTAATGAACAATCTACCGCTGTTATAATCATCATTTATTCACATTTTGTCATCGATTTGGGACGCTTTTCTCCGAGAAAGAAAACAATAGTCGTGACGTCATGCTGTTACTCGTGGCGTGAATCGATAAGTGGCATCAGTGATGACGAGACGTGCAGGGGCGTTTACAAATTACAAGCCACTCAAATTCTCAATATTTAATACATTTTAAATAAAGTCTTGGGCACTGAATGCCATGTTCAAACTGTTTGAAGTTTCGAACAAATTCATACTGCCTTTGAACAATTACTTTTATAATAAAATTCAAGCTCAAACTTTCACTTGTGACACGCACGTCACATAACGCGCAAGACCGCGTTAAATATCAGGTACAAAAGAGAATATTAAGAATATACTAACGTATATGAGACGCAATGGACCGTGGTAGGGATGAACATAGACCCCGAAGAGGTGATGCACCTGACTGGAAAATACATGCACTGCAGCACCCGTGGTGAATCCACTTATCAGCGGGTCGGACAGGAACGAGGCTAGAAATCCCAGACGGAACACGCCCATCAGCAGCTGTGTGTGAGAGAGACAGAACATCTACAAGTTAACGTGACGGTTCCAAGACTCTAAAAACGAATGGGGCATGACAAATGTTCGAAACTAGAACACGACCTCAAGTTCAAGCCCTTGACTGATTAGTGTATAATGTTTTAACGTGTCACCTAAACTTCTGGTAGAGAATAACATCACTAAACCTGCCATGCTGGTGTTGTGTACTACTTTGGACAAACAGGTTAATAAACAATACGAATATTGGAGGTCACATGCATCTGTAACGAGAATTCAATCTCGAAAATGATTCATTTATAATCTGACCGGTTTTTTCCTGAATACATATACTGAAGAATAATGAAACTAAGGTCGGGACACGTCTTTGAACCCACAAAATCTACCGTAATAAGTGAAAGCGAAGGAAACCTTGTCCTGTGTCAATGTTTTCTCCAAAGACGTTATCACTAAGAAGAAACATTCAAAGTCAGAGGTAGGAGGACGGCAAAGAACGTGAAAAGTAACATGTACATATTTATTGAAATTATCAATAGTATCATATCAATATCTTCCTTTTTCTTTCTTTTTTTCAACCTATCAACTTCAATGTTGGCACACTTCAAACGCACCTGAAAAACGCCAACGACAAAGGTAGCCGACATTGCATATGCTATTTTCATTTGGTCTAGTTCGGAGAAGGCGCCTGCTTCCGCATTCCCGCCAGAATCCTGAGGTATCCTGACGCTATCCCCGGAGGCGTTCGTACTGTAGATCGTCGTTTGTGTAACGTTAATGACGTCCCACACTTCGCCCGCCGAGGAGTTAGCCGCGACAGCACCGGCATGCATAGCTTCGTACCGCTCGATACCCTCCTGGACCACTGAACCGATCATCAAACTTGTCACCGCAAATGTTCCTAGAAACGACATACTTCTTAATTATTCAAAGAAAAAAAATATGTTTTGTTTTGTCATGGTTTTATCAACGGCATAAATGAGGAATTCTAGCAATTGAGTAATTGCGAAAAAAAAAATTTTGAACAGACCGTAGCACAGTTTGCAAAAAACCGGAACCAATCAATTTTGTCATACATAACTAATCTTACTTGATAAAAAACGTAGATAAAAATAAAAATTGTAACATAATACTAAATTACAGAGGTACACGCTCTCACAGTAAACTAATTGACAAAGCAGACACGGGAGCATGGTTCCGGATCATCAGCTTGACTAGATGTGGACCTAGGGCATTAAACAGTAGTACAACAGTGACGGGACGTATATTGATTACAAGGTGAGTGGTGTCATCACGTGTGAATGTTCGATGGGAGTAATCGTCGACATAACTAGTATAGCTATGCAGTCATTCTATCAACTCGTAAAGTGTTTAGACTTTGGGTGTTAAGAGTTATGGGCCTTGCTCTGCATGTGATCCACATGTATATAACACTTATAAATACTAACACGTCTGTAGATGCCAACACTAGTTCAGATGTATACTCAACCCAACTACCATTCAGCACATAACATGTGCTTAGATGTACACATTTCCCCTTTGACACGTGCTTAGATTTCTATAATAAAACATAGACACAAACTTACAGGGCAACACTTGCACGTGAATAAGTGTTAAGGTGTACACACGTAACCATTGAAACGTGTTTAGCAGTCAACACTTATACACAGGAACAGGTTAACAAGTCAACACTTACACACAGGAACAGGTTTGGCAGTCAACACTTACACACAGGAACAGGTTAACAAGTCAACACTTACACACAGAAACAGGTTTACAAGTCAACACTTACACACAGGAACAGGTTAACAAGTCAACACTTACACACAGGAACAGGTTTACAAGTCAACACTTACACAAAGGAACAGGTTTAGCAGTTAACACTTACACACAGGAACAGGTTTACAAGTCAACACTTACACACAGTAATAGGTTTACCAGTCAACACTTACACACAGGAAAAGGTTTACAAGTCAAAACTTAAACACAGGAACAGGTTTGCCAGTCAACACTTACAAACAGGAACAGGTTTACAAGTCAAACTTTTACTCAGGAACAGGTTTACCAGTCAACACTTACAAACAGGAACAGGTTTAGAAGTCAACACTTATCCATAGGAATGTGTTCAGGGTCAACACTTACCCTTAGGAATGTGTTCAGGGTCAACCCTTACCCATAGGAATGTGGTCAGAGGTCAACAAATGTGTTCAGAGGTCAACTCTTACCCATAGGAATGTGTTCAGGGTCAACCCTTACCCATAGGAATGTGTTCAGGGTCAACACTTACCCTTAGGAATGTGTTCAGAGGTCAACTCTTACCCATAGGAATGTGTTCAGGGTCAACCCTTACCCATAGGAATGTGGTCAGAAGTTAACACTTACACACAGGAACAGGTCTACAAGTCAACACTTACACACAGGAATAGGTTTACAAGTCAAACTTATACTCAGGAACAGGTTTACAAGACAACACTTGCACATGAGGATGTGATAAGATGTCAATACTAACACTTTGACACGTGTTACGTGTGATTAGAGGTCAACACTTACCCATAGGAATGTGTTCAGAGGTAAACACTAACCCAAAGGAATGTGTTCAGAGGTCAACACTTACCCATAGGAATGTGGTCAGAGGTCAACACTTACCCATAGGAATGTGGTCAGAAGTCAACACTTATCCATAGGAATGTGTTCAGGGTCAACACTTACCCATAGGAATGTGTTCAGAGGTCAACACTTACCCATATGATTGTGGTCATAGGTCAACACTAACCCATAGGAATGTGGTCAGAGGTCAACACGAACCCATTGGAACGTGTTCAGGGTCAACACTTACCCATAGGAATGTGTTCAGAGGTCAACACTTACCCATAGGAATGTGTTCAGAGGTCAACACTAACCCATAGGAATGTGATCAGAGGTCAACACTAACCCACAGGAATGTGTTCAGAGGTCAACAAATGTGTTCAGAGGTCAACACTTACCCATAGGAATGTGGTCAGAGGTCAACACTTACCCTTAGGAATGTGTTCAGAGGTCAACACTTACCCTTAGGAATGTGGTCAGAGGTCAACACATGTGTTCAGAGGTCAACACTTACCCATAGGAATGTGGTCAGAGGTCAACACTTACCCTTAGGAATGTGGTCAAAGTCAACAATAACCCATAGGAATGTGTTCAGAGGTCAACACTAACCCATAGGAATGTGGTCAGAGGTCAACACTAACCCATAGGATTGTGGTCAGAGGTCAACACTAACCCATAGGATTATGGTCAGAGGTCTACACTAAACCATAGGATTGTGTTCAGAGATCAACACTAACCCATAGGAATGTGTTCAGAGGTCAACACTAACCCATAGGAACGTGTTCAGAGGTCAACACTTACCCATAGGAATGTGTTCAGAGGTCAACACTTACACATAGATATATGTTTAGATGTCAAAACTTTCCCACATATATATGTTTAGATGTGTAAACTTACCCATAGATATATGTTTTGATGTGTAAACTTACCCATAGATATATGTTAAGATGTGTAAACTTACACATAGATATATGTTTAGATGTGTAAACTTACCCATAAATATATGTTTAAATTATATGTTTAAATGTGTAAACTTACCCATAGATATATGTTTTGATGAGTAAACTTACCCATAGATATATGTTTTGATGTGTAAACTTACCCATAGATATATGTTTTGATGTGTAAACTTACCCATAGATATATGTTTAGAAGAGCCGAAGAAGAAATATGTCAGGACTGGAAGGAAAGAGCTGTAAAGTCCATAAACGGGAGGTAACTCTGCAAGCAGTCCGTATGCCATTCCTAAAAAATAAGTAAAGATCTGTTTTACATATACGGGGAGGCGGATCTGATCATATTTTATGTTTCGATATATCACTGAATATCTTTATAACAAATATAGCATAATCGTTACAAAATTATTGACGTAAAAATAGACTGTGTATAATATACCTTGTATGATATGTACCCGTCTTGATTGGAACCTGTAATATACTTTGTGACAAATGTACCCACACAATACGTATATTGCAATAAATGCACCCTGTACCCCGCACAATACGTACCTTGCAATAATGTACCCAGTACAAAAAGTACCCTTATGTGTAGCTTGTATTGAGTGTACACTGTGCAATTAGTTATCTGCGTTCAATATGTCCTGTACAGTACGTATCGTGTGTTAAATGTACCCTGTTTATATGTAATGCGTACCCTGTGATATCTGAGCTATGTATACTACGTACCCTGTGTAAAATAGACCCTATACAATAGTTAACATGTATAATAGATTTGTACATAGCAATTTGCATAACCAAATACAATACATATACTGCGGTATATGATCTCTGAACGAAACGTACCCAATGTAAATAATATATGTACAATACGTACCCTGTGGTATATGGACGATGGCCACGGTCAGACCGGCCAGAAAGTCAGACAATAAAAACCTCCGTATACTGTATTTCCTCATAATGCCCCAGAATGGGAACAGTTCGTGTAAAAATGAGCTGGTACATTGCATAGAACAACTCGGGTTCGGCACTACTGAGTTAATTGTTTTCCAAACTTTTTTCAACTTCAACTTTCCGGTCAGTTCTTTTTTCACTTTTTCATGTGATCGCTTCAAAGCCTCCGTCCGGAATTTTCCTCGTTTGCGATTCATCTCCAACAAAGTAGCTCGAACATTTGGATCCATGTTGGTTCGACTTAATAAAAACTATCCTGGATTCCTAGAAAAAATGGATTTCTTCGTTATTTGTAGAAGTTAAAACAATATAATATTTCTTTTTTTCAAAACTAATTTGTATTCCATAACACTTTTCATTGACACAAATAGTCATAAAAACTGTCTCGTCTTTGAAGTAAGAACTATGTCTATCTATGTATCAATAAAATCCATATTGATAGAGTTGTACAGCACTGTCATACACTACACATGTTAGCTGAACTGTCGACAAGAGACATGTAACACAAGAATGAAATATAAAAATACAACCGATTTACTAAATCCACTTTGTCTTATCGTCTGTTGACCCTTGCCGGGGGATGTGAGGGGCCCCAAGGGTCGAGTCTGACGAGACACGCCTACTTTTCGCCCTAAGATTTCTATCTTGGCATTTGACGTTTAGAATTAATTGATATGTAAGATTAAATGTTGTCTTCAACCATTAAATCTTATTATTTAATACAAATACCGTTATTATTCAATTAATATCTGCTACAATAATGTGACATGTATTAGATCGAAATGTAAGACACGGCCGAGATAACTGTTCAGTAGACATACACATTGTAGTAATAACTGTAATTTTATATAGAAAAGTATAGCACCATTAATAAAAACGATCAAACGCCTAAAACTGTATATAAAACCAGTTTTACCTACTTTAACTAAATGTATCAATTCTACTCAGATATGGATGCAAGAAATATAAGTTTATTTGATAAAATGTTTATTTTTCAGTAAAAAGGTAAGCCTAACATGTATATTTGTTGTCAAAAATGAAACAAAACTGTATAGATTTTTTTCTCTGAATAAATATCTTGAATTGTTATAATAAATTTTTTCCTCGAATGCAAACAGATATTGTTATAATGAGTTTTCATTCATCTTTCTAAAATTCCTTCGATGATACCAATTAAATATACATGGGTTGTGGAGAGAAAACCAAACATTCTTGCGATAAACAGTCAGAATTAATAACATTATCTAACAATGAGTTACCCCCAATGAATCCCCAGGTTCGATCATTATGACGAACAATTCTTATACAGACAAGTGATGCATCTATCTCCTCTACACGAATGAGGCATGTCGGCCAGTAGAAAAGGACCCTATATCTGTCTTATAACATGTACATCGGTGGCCCTCGTAGACAGGTATTGTTAGCTTGATAAGGAATAGAGGTTATACAAACTTCTAAAGATATAAGTTGAATATCGGTATTTTGAGCATAAGTTTGTCTACAAGTTATAAAAAGTTAATTAGAAAATGTTAATTATTGATATTTTCATCTTGAGACAGATACAAATTTTAAACATTAAGACAATGTAGATCGCTGTTATTTTGAGCTGGGGACGAATTACAAGATGCACAAAGTTTGACCATGTAGATTTTTGTTATTTTCAGCTAGAAACGAGATACAAGTTATACAAAGTTAGACAATGTATATTATTGTGATTTTGAGCTGGGGACAAAATATAAGTTATATAAAGTCAGACAATGTATATTATTGTTATTTTGAGTTGGGGACGAAATACAAGTTATGCAAAGTCAGACAATGTACAATATTGTTATTTTTAGTTAGGGACGAAATATAAGTTATACAAAGTCAGACAATGTACAATATTGTTATTTTTAGTTGGGGACGAAATATAAATTATACAAAGTCAGACAATGTACAATATTGTTTTTTTAGTTGGGGAGGAAATATAAGTTATACAAAGTCGGACAATGTACAATATTGTTATTTTGAGCTATGGTTTGGTTTGGTTTGGTTTCATTTTGTTTAACTCCTATTTACAGCTACGGTCATTTATGGACGTGCCTCCATGTGTGTAGTGTATGAGTGCTTGCGTGTGTGTATGCAGGAGACAGGATATACAAAGTCAGGCAATGTACGTTATTGTTGTTGAGCTCGGGACGAGATACAAGTTATACAAAGTCAGACAATGAACATTATTGTTATTTTGAGTTGGGGGCGAGATATAAGTTATACAAAGTCAGACAATGTACATTATTGTTATTTTGAGTTGGGGGCGAGATATAAGTTATACAAAGTCAGACAATGTACGTTATTGTTATTTTGAGTTGGTGGCCAGATAGACGTTATACACAGTAAGACAATGTACGTTATTGTTATTTTGAGTTGGGGGCCAGATAGACGTTACACACAGTAAGACAATGTACGTTATTGTTATTTCCAGATGGAGACGAGATACAAGTTATACAAAGTAAGACAATGTTACTATTGTACGTTATTGTTATTTACAGCTGGGGACGAGATACAAGTTATACAAATAAGACAATGTACGTTATTGTTATTTCCAGCTGGGGACGAGAAACAAGTTATACAAATAAGACAATGTACATTATTGTTATTTTGAGTTGGGGGCGAGATATAAGTTATACAAAGTCAGACAATGTACATTATTGTTATTTTGAGTTGGGGGCGAGATATAAGTTATACAAAGTCAGACAATGTACATTATTGTTATTTTGAGTTGGGGGCGAGATATAAGTTATACAAAGTCAGACAATGTACATTATTGTTATTTTGAGTTGGGGGCCAGATAGACGTTATACACAGTAAGACAATGTACGTTATTGTTGTTTTGAGTTGGGGGCCAGATAGACGTTATACAAAGTAAGACAATGTACGTTATTGTTATTTTGAGTTGGGGGCCAGATAGTCGTTATACACAGTAAGACAATGTACGTTATTGTTGTTTTGAGTTGGGCGCCAGATAGACGTTATACAAAGTAAGACAATGTACGTTATTGTTATTTCCAGCTGGGACGAGGTACAAGATATACAAAGAAAGACAATGTACGTTATTGTTATTTCCAGCTGGGGACGAGATACAAGTTATACAAAGTAAGACAATGTACGTTATTGTTATTTCCAGCTGGGGACGAGGTACAAATTATACAAAGTTAGACACTGTACACTATTGTTTTTGAGCTTGAAACGAGCTAGACGCGTTGAATGTTATAGCTATGACACAGAGAAAATTCAAAGTTTATCCCCAAATAAGACGATGTTATTATCAGTTTGAGCTTGCGACTATACACAAATTATACACTTTAGTCGATGTTGAATATTATGATTTCGAGTTTGCGATCATGAGATAGAGTCTATACAAAGTTAGACAAAGTTTTGAGCCATTTCATTCAATGTCGGGTCATATTGAAGCTTATCAATGTTTGCTCAAACTGATCAATAGTCCGTAATTTGAGTATACTCATTTCAATTTAAGGTTGTATGCTATATTTTGTACCATTCTTGTGATTTATAAAAGAGTTATCTACCTTACCAGTGATATGTTAGGGTTATCTCCCTTACACATTATACTTGTTATTCATGCAGTTATCAACCTTGCTTGAGTCTATGATAGAGTTATTTATTTTACACACTAGACATGATTTTTGTCGGTTTAATCGTCCTTAATGCCTTTTATCAGTTTTTGTGGTATTTCAGAAATACAGGGAAATTTTATTTGGTTAATTGATAAGTTTCACATTTCACAGCACGCTAAATATATTTAATTGTGCAAATGATTCAATCACAACGCCTCCTTCCGTTCCTCTTCAATACACTACTATACAGGATCTGATAAAGTCAGGCCGAAATGGCCTGTTGAGTAAAAATTTACGTAGACTATACAAATCGGGCGATTACCTTTAAGTTGAGGTGTTTACAGTGCATAATAAAGGCCCTAAACGCCACGACCTTTTTACATGTAACTTGGTTTTTCACATGTAACTTGGTTTTTCACATGTAACTTGGTTTTTCACTTTCTTTGAAAGAACAATCTGCCTTTACTGTCTGTATGAATATTGACCTTCATATAATCAATTAGTTACCGAGGTCAATAAAACAGGTCATTGAGTTCTGACTGTAACATCTCATTAGTATACTTGTTCTGATGATATTTCATATAGCCAGGAGCTATATATGTAAGAGGACTGAGCAATGTAAATAAGAGCTGATCCGCTGGGGATGGAATAATCGACCTTACTCTTTCTATTCTGACGCCCTAGCACTGAGCTAAAGGAATATTACCACTAACCAAAGCTAGCAAGTTGTCTCTTATATATCAAACAACAAGAGCACAGCTGGGCCCTGATGATGTTTTACAGCCATATCCGTACCTAAACCGAGGTGTTCAGAGCAATTTTACACACTTTAGGGGGTCTAGATTGTTGTTGGGGTTGGGGTGGGGTTTTTTTTGGGG